TAACAACTTCAAAAGCTCGAACACAATAATCAAAGATATGAAACTTCTAGGTCATTCTTGCTGCTGCTTCCAATGCAGAAGCCTATCATTGGCCTTGGTTTTGGCTTGGGATTTGGAACCCATAATCCCACCACCCCACTTCTTTCTGTATTCATCAATCTGCTCATTGAAGTTGGCCTGAAAAGAAAAACAAGACAACATGGATTCAATTTCATTGATTAAGAGTATTAAACACAACACAGTTGAACAATTAAAATTGTAAACCACCTTAATAGCCTCTAAGTTTCTGCTCAACTCCAATTTGTCCTCATTCTTCACAGTTGTCAAGCACAAAATTGATGCAGTCACTACAAAAAGAAACAATTGACATGGACATATAATCAATGCCGAGGTCAAAATCAATGCCTCAAGAACAAGCACTTTCCACCAAGCATTCATTCATCCCTAGCGTGCTTTTCCCTACATAATGCAGTAGGAAATTTCCATCTTTCTGCACAATGCCGCAAGCCAGAAAACAAGCTCAATTGGGTCAAGGTCATGGGCAATCACAACAACCTGTGCTTTATTCTGACAGGGAAAAAGATAAAATCTATCTTAGTAAGAAATCACAAGACATGGACATGAGAGAGTAAATGAACATTCATGCTAAAGCACAAGACCTGCTCAATAAGGTAGGTAACATGATTCATACCATATTTAACAACAATAGGCTTTTTTGCCTCAACAGGTTTTCCATCAGCCTCTGCTTGACCCCTTTTCAAAAGACTCATTTCTTTTCAGCTTTATCCTCAGGCCTGTCGCTGCATAGTACATTCAATAAAAAGAAATTAGCACAAACTCGAGGCAATCACAATTCACGACCAATGCACACTAAAAAAATCAGCAAAATTAACAACCATTACACAGAGTATCCTGCATATACAACAACAATCCCCAAATAAATAACTATGAATCACGAACTTACAAGTGGTCAATCCAAGCACCATAACCAAAGTTTCACAAGATGGTCAGTTAACTCAAAGCTACGAAGTTTCCTACCATTATTTGACCTATCAACTACCATTTCAAGCCATTCAACATGGGAACAAATTAAGCTAAATCCCGTCAAATTTAAAAGATTCAATTAGGTAAATGATTCTATCAAAAGTCATAAACATCTTTAGCAACTAAAATTTACACAACCTAGCTAACACAATAATAAAAAGGAATAAATTAAACTGAGAATGAACATAAGCTACGTAACCCACCTGCTTCTTCTTGGCAGCAACCACTGGAGCTTTTCCTCCTCTTTTTAGAGCCTGTTAAGTCAACACAAACACAATCTTGTTGATGCATGAATCATATGTATATTCATATGCAAACGGAGAATACGGAGAATACAGTCAGCTTTAGACCTAAAGAGACTTCATTAATGAGTTGAGTCTAAGAATGTGTCACTAACTCGCCAACTCCACTGGTCATGTACTGATAAGAGCTTGTGACTGCATAGTGAGTTCTGTTTTGATGTGGAGCTTGGAAGAGGGAATCAACCATACCCTTCCCTCTTGTCATATCTTGCTGATCATCTGAGATATCATAGGCCACACCCTGCCATCTGTCTTTCTCAGTATGGTTGCTTTCATCAATCTCTGCACCAACAATTTTGAAGCATCCAGAGGAGGCCTTGGTGTTGGGGAGTGTTGAGGTAACCTTCTTCAAGCTGATCCCAAAGAAAGCTGAGCTGGGAACTGAAGCTCTAGCTCCAGAGCCATTCAAGCTTAACTACAATATCATACTAGCTACTCTTTCACACTCTTCATACTAACTAAAACTTAAATACTTGTAACTCGTCCTCTTTTTTAATTACTTCTAATTAAAAAAAAGTTTTAACATGCTTCCAATATCCAATTTGTTACATCATGAATGAAATAGGATTGTAGGACAAAGCAACAGGGCTAATTTGGTATCAATGTGCATAGGAGGGTATACAGTAAGATACAACACAAACATAACAACTTTTAAGCTATTACATGACATTGATAAATAACATAGTTAACAGACAGATAACAACCCTCATAATACACTTCTGAATAACAAAAAGTACATATAATTTCAAAAGATTAAATGCTACCTCAATACCATCTACGATCAGGGTTTCACTAACTTACAACTTAACACAACATAACTCCGAAAGTGCTGCTAATGCAACACTTGTAGCTAACCATTACAACACAAGTCAACGAAATATCAACATCGCAGTCATGATGAACCCAAATGTTATAACCATTACAATGATCGAAACACTCTGTAATTTCATCAATTTCTCCATCTTCATACAATTACAGTAACTCGGTTCTTCAAACCACTCAAAAAAATGGCAATCTTGCACTGTTCTGAAATTAGGACAACCATGAAATTGTCTTCCCGGATTCCTTTCTGTCAAACTCGTTCGCAACACAGCCGGCACTCCGCAATAGCACATCTTCACCATGGTACGGGATAAGGACGAAGAATGCCTAGATATCACGCTTTCACCTCCACCTCCACCTATGCCAGACCCGCATCCACCCATGCTTCAGTCAATGGTTATACTGTACTCGTTTCCAACCCTCCACCCACTGGTCACTATGTATTTTGGTTACTGCCGTAGAGACAGAGACAGATCACCACTTATAAGTTAAACTTATATAGCCAACTAACCAACACAAATGTATATAGTCAAATAAAAAACTGTATGAACCCAACAATAAAATTTCAATTACAAGGTACCATAAAAAAAAAATTAAATATTCATATACGGTGATTTTGTGTTCAATAAAGTGTGGTTTCTGTTTCCATAGTTTATGTCTAATACTACAGTCAAATCCCTTTCTAGAAATACAATCGAATGATAACACCCAAAAATGTGTCTCAGTTATTGAATTAAACATAGTTAAATGGGTAGCCAGCTAGCATCAATGTCATGAAACAACCACCTGACAGTGGACCCAAAGTTCCAAACCGTCTCCTGAATGGCGATAAGGAGGTTTCTCTCTACAGATGATCTTGTATCTCGGGGTTTTTTTTTGTGAGGTATGGGGGAAGGGGCAAACGACAGTGGCATAAAAAGGTACGCAACAATGATACCCATAAACAAAAAGAACAAACAACCGATACCATACCTGTTGTTAAGTCGAACCCTAACGTCTACAAAACCGGTGCAATGCAGCAAAACCTCCGCCCTCTTCGTATGCGAACACTGTGATGAGTGTCTGGAACAAGTTCAATGGTGCCGGTTTTGATGGTTGTTCACCGGAAAAACTCCACACACCAAATCCAAAGACAACCTTTGTCCCTTTTGAAAAAACTTGACGTTGGCAACACACGAACGTTGGGAAATCATAATACGGATAAAGGGCACCAAGGCTCTTTTGTCATTTATAAAAAACGAGGATATTTTTGTAATATCATTTTTTTTTCCATCAATAATTTACCAAAAGCCAATCATAGATTTTACAAAAGTTACATAATTTTCCCAGTAAATTTTTTTCCTACCAAACAACTTTTTTTACATTTTCCTATCAAACTCACTTCCCAACTATTTCCCTACTAATCATATTTTCCTATTATTCACAAAAAAAATTCCGCAACCAAACGCCCCCTTATAGTTGATATATAAACTCAATCGTAGTGGTCTTTAATTAGTGTTGTTGGTGTTGGGCCGTTGGTTTTGGTTGCGAATAATGAGAATGAGAACGACGCATTGTGTCAACGGAGAGCACGGTGCCCAAGAATTTCATTTTATCCCCACTTTTTGTCTTCTGCTTCGACACCACTTTTCACATTAAATTAAAATGGAAAATATTTATCATTTTAAATTACACAAAATTATATAATTTTAAGAGAGATAGACATAAAATAATATTTTTTTATTTAAAATTTAAATTAAAAAAAATCATTTACTTTCTCTCTCGTGATTTTTCATTTCTTGTGTCTACCTCTCTCCTAAAATAATATAACTTATGTCATTTAGAATGATAAACATCAAACCCTAAATTAAATAATTTAAATAAGTTAAATACAAATATATTTTAATTAAGGGTTTGATGTTTGTCATTTTAAATGACATAAGTTATGTCATTTTAGGAGAGAGATAGACACAGACAAACGGAAATCATGGGAGAGAGAAAAAGAGTGATTTTTTTTTAATTTAAAATTCAAATTTTCTGTGTCTGTATTACTCTTAAAATGACGTAACTTTCTGTCATTTAAAATGACAAACACTCGTCCCTTTAATTAATTATCAAATTTAGTGTTTGTCATTTTAAAGAATATGAACTTATGTGATTTTAAAGAATATGAACTTATGTCATTTTAAATTAGAGAAAAACAAAAAAAATGAGATAGACACATACAAACGGAAATCATGAGAGAGAAAATGTGGGTGATTTTTTTTTAATTTAAAATTTAAATTTTCTGTGTCTGTATCTCTCTTAAAATGACGTAACTTTCTGTCATTTAAAATGACAAACACTTTTTCCTTTAATTAATTATCAAATTTAGTGTTTGTCATTTCAAAGAATATGAACTTATGTCATTTTAAACGAGAGAAAAACAAAAAAAATAAGAATAAAAAAGTGATTTTTTTTATTTTAAAATTTAAATAAAAAATATTATATTATCATGTCTTCCTCTATCTTAACAATGATACAATTAACAAATACTTTTTACTTAATTAATTAATGGCAAAAATATTTCTGCATTTAGTTAGTGCATATAAGTTATCTGTATTTATTTACAAAATTTTGATATTGAAATCTTAAAAAATTATAAATAAAAAATTATTATAACCCTGAAATAAATTAAAATTACAAAAATATCATAATTTTCGTTCCAAAACAACCTTCTACCATAGTTGTAAATAACTTATTTGTAACGAGCGCACGGCGAACCCTTAATTAATATCAATTTCAAATTTTTCAACGATATAGAAAAACATAACAAAAAACAGAAGATATTTTTGTTGTTTCCAATTCAGAAGGCGTCTTCCTTCTTTTGTCTTCTCTTTCTCATTTTGCAACCAAACCAAATTAGGGTTTCTCGATCTTCCTCTCTTCTTCTTTTTTCACTTACCTCATCGATTTAGGGTTTTACTCTTCCCAACAAAATAAAGGTGCATCCTTTGCTTTTCTCTCTCTGCAATCTGCATATATTTTTTTCTCTTTTTGTTTGTTTGTTTGTTTTTTCGTGCTTGTCTTCAAAAGGCATTGTGTTTTCTTCGCCATTGTAGATCAGGTTTGCTCCTGCTATCGTCTATTTGAGATTTGGATGGGAATGGACTTGGTTTAATGCTTCTACTGCCTCGTTTTTCTCGTTTGTTTTATTTGTGCTTTGCATTATGCGCTTGTTTGTCGTTTGTATTTGATGTGCTTTGCTTGTTGGTTCTCTCATTTTTGTAATATTAAGAGGTTTGGAATGATTGCTGATTGGAGTTCATTGCGTTGCAGGGTTGGTTCTGAACAATTTTGTGTGTTTTGAAGAATATTTATCTGTTTCCACAAAGGGTTGTTTTTTTTTATTTTTATTGTGGGCCCCTTTTAAATTTTAAAGGTGTCATTGCTATTCTGGAAAGGATTGGTTATCGTTTGGAATTTTGTGGACAGCTGTTGACAACAAGAATTTGTGATTGACTATGCGAAGTTCATGGGCAGATTTGGCTGCAAATTCTGCAGCTGACATTGCAGTTCCTGGTTCTTCTGCCAACAACCCGGGAACTGGCAGCACTTTAGCTCCTTCGAAACCTGTTTATGTTCCTCCCCATCTGAGGAACCGTCCACCGTCAGCAGAATCTCCTGCTCCAACAAATAGTGGCCCAACTTCTGGTTCTGGTTCTGGTACTGTTGCTGGTAATGCTGGATCACGTTGGGCTGCACCGAAAAATGATTATCGTTCTGGGTATGGTGGCGGTGGCCATACGAGTGGATGGGGGAACAAAAGTGGTGGTTGGGATCATGGCAGGGAGCGGGAAGTCAATCCCTTTGGAGATGAGGATAATGTAGAACAGGCAGTTAGTGAGCCGGAGAATACAGGAATAAATTTTGATGCATATGAAGACATTCCAGTGGAGACCAGTGGTCAAAATGTGCCCCAACCTGTGAATACATTTGCTGAGATTGACTTGGGTGAAGCACTTAATCAGAATATAAGAAGGTGCAAATATGTGAAGCCAACACCTGTTCAGCGGCATGCCATACCAATATCCCTTGCTGGACGGGATTTGATGGCTTGTGCGCAGACTGGTTCTGGAAAGACTGCTGCTTTCTGCTTTCCAATTATCAGTGGAATTATGAGGGGCCAACCTGTCCAGAGGCCACCTCGTGGGGTGCGTACAGTGTATCCGCTTGCACTTGTTCTCTCACCAACTAGGGAGTTATCAATGCAAGTGAGTCAATCATATTGACCATGTATTATGACATATTTTTGTTGGACACAGTTCTGTATTGGAAATATATTCGAAATGTTGTAATTTTGTTTCAGATACATGAAGAGGCTAAGAAGTTTTCGTACCAAACTGGGGTTAGGGTGGTTGTTGCTTATGGTGGAGCACCAATAAACCAGCAGGTTTCTGCCCCTTCTTTTATCTCTGTTTCTTCTTGTTCTTTACTTTGATTTTCGCACAATTATGAGTCCATGTGATGATATTCTTGCTAGATGTTTCAGTTATTATCTTTAATTCGTAGATCACAAAACACACAGTTGCATTATACTATATGTCTTTCTTATTTTGGTGGATAGGTACCTTGTTCCAATTACTTAGCAAAGTTAGTTCATATGCGAGATCCCAAGTTTGATATGATTTGGATCTGGATCCGGATCCAAGGTGTTTCTTGATTATTTATCTAGGATATGTATAGTATTTGAGTTATCTGCCCTTTCAACTTTTAAATGACTAGTTGCACTAAAGTCCTGATTGCCTGCATTTTATGAATCTTTAATGATGACCTTACTATTGGGCCTTGCAATGTTGATGGAATCTTAAATGAAGGTTTTTATTTACGTATAATCCTATATAGCTCCAAAGTTTTCTTGATTGAATGGATTAAGGGGTTAAAACGATTGTTCGGTATTTATATGTGTTGAAATTATTGGGATTTAGTTATAGAGGGAGATAAAGGAACAAAGTCTGAATAATATTCTATATTGAACTGATATAGAGGAATGCGATGGAGTTAAGAAAAATCCTCAGAAGCTGTTTGATGAACTCAATTCTTTTCTTGTGTTTGGCATGGTTATTGATTTTGAGACCGGTGATGTTGGTGTTGTGGAGAAAGATCAAAGTTTGCGATACTTATGGTATGATAAAATGTTGGAGAAAGGAGCCTTCGAGACTGTATATAAGGCATTTGATGAAGTAGATGGGATAGAAGTTGCCTGGAACCAAATCAATATTGATGCTGTTATGCAAAGAGGGTGAAGCGGTGGGTTGCCAAAAAAACATTAGTAAGCAGGTGGTCAAATAAGTTGCTGAAAAACAAGTGGGCTTTGCCAAAAAAAACCATTGGGTCACTAAAAAAGTTGCTGAAAAACAAATGGGCTGTTGGAAGGAGAAGAATTTTCCATGAAAGATCGGTTGTGATGGCGGTGATGTGCACTACTTCAAAATGTGACATGATGGTTTAGCTGTATAGTTGCCACCAAGTAGCGATAATTGGAAGAAGTGGCATCATGCTGGAAGTGAGAAGGTTGCTGAAAAGACGACACAACAAAGAGATGACTATTCTAAAGGAAGAAAATAATTATGAAATTAAAGATCTCTGGATTTTAGGGATCTTCGCCGCAGAATAGTGATGGACTGATCACGGATGATAGTATCGATCTAATACCATGTCACAAATCAAATTTGTTTTCCACTGCCTCCTCTAGTGTAGGTCTTTTCCGGCCATCGGAGCTGCTCATTTTCCGGCCACCACTGCCGCTCATTATCCGGTCATCGCCTGTGTTTTTATGGCCACCGTCTATCGCTGACAATTGTCTTTTTAGCGGGAATCTTCCATGTCACCATTCTAACAATAAGACAGCCACGTCATCCTCCAGTGTAGGTCTTTTCCGGCCATCGGAGCTGCTCATTTTCCGGCCACCACTGCCGCTCATTATCCGGTCATCGCCTGTGCTTTTATGGCCACCGTCTATCGCTGACAATTGTCTTTTTAGCGGGAATCTTCCATGTCACCATTCTAACAATAAGACAGCCACGTCATTTGCTGCGCTTTCATCGCTGAAGGTCCTTGCACTGGGATCTGCTGTCCCTTTGCGCTTTCCCCCTTCCTTCCTTTCCTTCTTGCTGTTGTTGTTTGGCTACGTCTGGGCCCTCATTTGTTGTTTGTCCCCGTCTCTCTTTAGTGTGTGTTTCTGCCTAACTGTGTAGTTTGCCACGCATGGTTCTCTATTTTTGGGCAGCACCGCATGGCTCTGTTCCCTGTTGTGTTGCTGCATTTGATCTCTTTTCCAATGACAACATAGCATTGGAGGGTAGAAATATGGAAGATGCTGTTTGGACCTGTCGTCTCTTTTGTCGCAAATGCATCATAGTCGTTTTTGTCCCTCATGCAGTCTGGCCTTACCAGTTTGTTCGCAAAGCATTTTGAGCTCCCAATCTCCGAGAGTCTTTTTCACAGTCCTCAGCCTTCATTGCTCATTGTTTTGTAACCAGCCTTTGTTGTTGGATTTCAAGTTTTCCAACCTTCATTGCTGGACTCTTTTAAGTGCCATTATCACATGGGTTTTGTACTCAACCTTCATTGCTGGTCTTCAGGCTTATCAGCCTTCGCTGCTTATCAACCAGCCTTCTTTGCTAGAACTTATAAGTTTGCCTCCTCTATTGCCTCTGGTGCTGGTACCACCTTATTTGTGGCCTTTATGTTCATCTTCTGTGTGTTTGAAGACCCATTATTCACTGCCTATGAAGATCCATTGTCAGCCAACGTCCACCTGTTATGCCTATGACAACCATGTTTTGTGTTGGCCTGATTATATTTGATTAATTCTGATTTTTTAAGTGTCATTTGTATCAAGCTTAAAGCTTGGTATGCATGAGTTTTTGAGAGTTGGTTCATGACAATACACACCAAAGGTAATTGATCTTTCTTGGAAAAAGAAATTGACTTACATTTCAAAAGCTAGTAATCCAAATGATGCTCCACTTCTTGTTTATGGAGAACTCATATAGTTATTCATGGTTCGCCTGATACTTTTAGCAGACAAGGATCATTTTTTAATTTTTAAACAACTTTATTAAAAACTTAAAAGTTTTGGTTAATGAGACTTACATGTCACTTTTACGTGGTTCCATGATTCAGTGGATCAGGTGTGCATTACGGTCTCTGCTTAGACCATGGTTAACAGTCTAAATTTTGGTACATGTACTTTACTGAAAATTATCTATAAGGAAATATAAGGTCAAAATGGGTGATGATACAGATTTAATGGTAACATTTGGAGGGTGTTTGTTTAAATGTGATTACGATATAAGGCTCCGCCTGCTGATTCTTTGATGCTATTATTTCACTGTTTCATAATGAGCTTGTTAGTTTCATTGCAAAATCATTTTTAGTTATTTTCAGCTGTGATACATCCTTGTTTGGAGGTACAATTCGTAGAAAACTGGAAACCCAACCTTTTTCGATGTTTGCCATTTCAATCATCTCATTGGGATCTTTATTCTTATTTCTATGTTTGGGTATTAACTGGTTAATAACCTTGTTGTTATATAGTGTAGTATTTTTTGTGGAGGCACAGCACCTTGTCCAATGAGTCTGAAACATGTTATGGTTACTCTGAAATATTTTATGCATATCTCTTCAGTTCATACTTCAATAGGTTTCGTATTTTGGATTAGAGGGTTTTTTGAATTGGAGTTTGTGGATTACTATATATCTGTCAGAATATATGTAGATATTGCTTGTTAACTAATAATTTATTGAACATAGTTTTGGAGTTTATGGAAACTGTATAAATGTCACTATAGCTGTATGATCTTGTAGATTTTGTTCTGTTGCAAATTTTCCTGAATGGGGCCAATCTGGAAACTAGTGGTCTATCAAATTTTACCATTTTGAAAGGTAGAACTTTTAGATTTTGGTTTAGATCCTAACAAGTTTTATTTTCGCCAGCTGCGGGATCTTGAAAGAGGGGTTGACATTCTTGTTGCAACTCCTGGGAGACTGGTAGATTTGCTGGAGAGAGCTAGAGTTTCATTGCAGATGATCCGATATCTCGCTTTAGATGAAGCAGATCGGATGCTGGATATGGGTTTTGAGCCACAAATAAGGAAGATTGTAGAACAAATGGACATGCCTCCACCAGGTGCCAGACAGACTATGTTGTTCAGTGCCACATTTCCAAAAGAGATACAGGTTTGATTTACTCTGTAAAATATCCTTTCAAGTGAAGCATGCTTTCATGTGGCATGTGATTTTTATTTAGCTTATTGCTAGCTTTCCTACCTTAATGGGGCAGTTAGTTGCTTTACTTTTTTTTTTTTTCCTTTTGTTTGCTCCCTTGTCACTTGGGGTGCATACGTATTCCTTTGTTATTTAGTGCTGGTTGGAATTTTAAGGGGTTACACTCATCCATGTTAGGGATTTATATTGTAGTTTTTCATTGCTCTGAAATGCATTTCTGTTAAGTTTTTGTGAATCACATAGTTGCCTCCGGGGGTCTTACCTTCAATCTTCCTCCACCTTTATTTTTAGAAAGAGTGCCTTTAGAATCAAATATAATTTGGTTGTTTTTTTATTTGTTTTGAGCTGACTTGAGAGGTATAAACAATACATTAATACCTATTTGTTGGGTATTTTGTAACTTTCATGACCTTTGTTATTTCTGTGATTCATGGTTGTATGCAGAGATTGGCCTCTGATTTCCTTTCAAATTATATTTTCCTTGCTGTTGGAAGAGTGGGCTCAAGTACTGATTTAATTAATCAAAGAGTTGAGTATGTTCAAGAGTCTGACAAGAGGAGTCACCTCATGGACCTTCTTCATGCACAGAGGGAAAATGGTGTACAAGCGAAGGTATTTCACTTACATAAAACTTAATTCACGTGTTTTCAAAAACTAAATGAATGTCACAGGTTGATTCAGCTTGTGTTAATGAATCACATCCATTGGGTTGAGAAAATACCCTAGAACAACTGAAATAGTGATTATAGGTATTGTGTATGACAATAAATTCAGAGCTTTTCTCAGTTGTTCAGTGCCACATTCCCAAAAGAAATACCAGAGCTTTTCATCGTGACTGTTGTCTCTGAAACTGCCCCAATCCACTTTGGATGGGCTGTTCTGGGTGATGCTTACAGACATTTAGTCAAGCATGCATGCATTTATTTATTTTAAAGAATTTTATTAAGGTTGTTAGAGAATAATATAAACCATTAATTTTGCCTCACCCAACAGCTTAAGTTTTTGGGTTGAATTGGTTCTTTACATGGTATCAGAGCTTCAGTGACCACGAGGTCACGAGTTCGATCCTCACAACCCCCACTCTCAAGTGGAATTAAATAAGCACAAGGTAATCCCAAATTGGGCTATCCATGCTTCAAGCCCAAAAGGCTCCTGTGTGAGGGGGTGTTTTAGAGAATAATATAAACCATTAATATAGCCTCACCCAACAGTTTAAACTTTTGGGTTGAATTGGTTCTTTACAAAGGTAAATAGAAGATGGATGCAGAGAGATAGAAAGATAAGAGAATCCCTATAAAAAACTACAGTAAAATCAAAAGTGAACAGAAAAAACGTCAATGAAACAAAGTCATCTAGTCTCTTAACATATCTGTTAGGGAAACCCCTCTGAAACAACAATGCGCTTTACATTTACACCAAGCTGAAGCCCAAGGAAGCTGCTCATCCATAGAACTTTCCTTAAAGATATGAGAATCATGCTCCAACCATGTTCGTCAAATTGTAGCATACACAGCATGGTGCCACTAAACTAGTAATAAAAAACTGGTAATCAAAATATCCAATAAAAAACTGGCCCAAGGATCTAGGGCACACCCCACACTCTCCAAAATGCCAACCAAAGAATTTCATAAAGAAACAGCTACAGAAGTATAACAACAGTATAAGAGTAGGTGCTGAACTGATTCTGAACAACATGTTTGCATGTATTTATATTGGCATTTAATGTAAATGCATGGATTATGTTTTTATTATTTCTACTTCTTTCCGTCTCAGCTCTGTCATGTGATGCTTACCCCTGCACAACTGCACATGTAGGCCTGTTTGTATAGCAGATTTATACTGTGGATGGCCTATTTTGTTCTCTCGTTTGTAGATATTTCCTTTCTCTGAGAATAAATTCGTTTTCTAAATTATATAAGACTATTTCGTGCATGGTTTTTCTTGTTTGCAGCAAGCTTTGACTTTAGTTTTTGTGGAGACAAAGAAGGGAGCTGATTCGTTGGAACACTGGTTGTGTCTTAATGGTTTTCCTGCAACTACTATTCATGGTGACAGGTCACAACAGGTTAGTCTATTGCGCAATTGTTAATAGTGAATAGCTGACTTGTAGTAATAGGTTGCTCCTGGGCTATAGCAAATAGTTTATAGCGTAGTACTGCAATGTGAAAAGTGGTGCATATAATAGGAAAAAAAATGATTCATTCTTTGTGCTTAAAAATGATTCATTTAATATGATTCGAAATGCCAATATCTATACTTCTAGTAGAGGGGGTTCCTCTTTGTTTGGTCACATTTCAATTTCCCACATTGCTATTGACGTTTGTTTATATTTACAATTCGCTATTTGAAATAACTCCTACATCCCCTCAATGGGTATACTCTTTCTCACTCTTGCAAACCTCTTTTCAAAACTCTCACTCTCCCATCTCTCTCTCCAATCAAAGCCTTTGGTTTAAGAAATTCTGCACAAGCCGAGATTTGTCATCTCTCACTCTAAAAAAATTGCTAATATATTTGACAAACTAAAATCACATTTATAGGCAACGAAGGTTGGTACACCTGGTTGAACCTTCCGCCCATGCTAGTTATGCCTTGGGTTCGATTCTCAGGCTTTCCTCTTTGATAGGCGATATGTATTCCCGCCAAAAATCCTCAATGATGTTGGTGGTCTTCCCTGATCTTGCATTCTTCCAATCTAAACTTTATAATTAGCAGCAATGAAAAACAATTTCACATTTATAATACAACTCATGGAAGGTTGTTACAGCATGTCTTGGGCCTCTAGCTTAATAATAGAAAAGGAAAACTATATCTAAATTTTAAAATCGTCTTGGAATAATATTCAACCTGGCCGTTTCTCATTAACAGAGAAGCTTGCAGTAAAACCCAATACTCAGAAGATGTATTCTATTACTGAGGGCCTACAGAGATGCTGAAAGTAGTTTTGCTCAAAGACACAGCTGAGGCATGTACAAGTGAGACCCAAATTACCCAACCAGATAAGAGAGTAGATAAATCAAAAGAAAATGAGAGAAATCAGAACAAGAATATAAGATAGGAAATGTGTGAAGTTTGTTTTACCTGAAAAATGGACAGCAAGCCTCGATAGGTGATGAAGGAAGTTGATGAGGGTTTGAGCACTTTCCCCCTGTTTTATTTAGGGATGACTTGAAACAGAAAATAGATGGGTTGCATAATTTTTCCATCAGCGTTAATGGTAGGCATCATTTTGCTATAATTCTGCATTTTATTGAATTCTGATGTTCTGAGGGAATATTGCATTACAAGGAATCTTCTTTTAACTCTAATACAAAACATGGGATCTTCCAATATTCCGTATGGCCTACAACATCTTAAGAACTGATATCAACTGGTTATTCCTGTGAAAGTCCTGCTTTTTCTGTCATGGGCAATATTTTGGGTTCAAAATGATACTATTTTTTTTGGCCATCCTTCACAACCAATTCCTTTTCTTTTATTTTGGAACATCTTTTGCAATCATTTTCTGATGTTATTATTGTTTTGTTTGATGCTGAAGCTTACAATCACCATGCTTTCTCAAGATTAAATGTGCTTATATATATTATTAGTCCCTCTGGTTGTGTATCACTAGGTTTATGGTTCTGGATTGTTGCATCATTCTAGATTGCTCGGAAATTAGTACTTTAAGAAATCGCATTTCAACTTCATATAATTATTATACTTGAAAGTTGAAAGCCTGTTGCTTCATAGTATTTACTAATTTTTCTGTTGCTGGTGCTAATTTAATTGTACATTGAATTTATGGGTTGTGTGTGTATTTCTTGTTTGTATGTCTGTGTGCTCATATCAATTTTGAAATACCTGTAGGAAAGAGAATTGGCATTAAGGTCATTTAAAAGTGGCAACACCCCCATATTAGTTGCCACTGATGTGGCTGCTCGTGGTCTTGATATTCCCCATGTTGCCCATGTTGTCAACTTTGACCTGCCAAATGATATCGATGATTATGTACACCGTATTGGAAGGACAGGGCGAGCAGGAAAGAAAGGTCTTGCTACTGCATTCTTTAATGACAACAATTCATCCCTAGCTAGGCCTTTAGCAGATCTGATGCAAGAAGCAAATCAAGAAGTACCTGCATGGCTCTCACGGTATGCTGCTCGATCCACTTTTGGTGGAGGGAGAAACCGTCGATCAGGAAATGGCCGGTTTGGTAGCCGTGACTTCCGAAGAGAGGGCTCTTTTAGTAAAGGTGTTTCAGATTACTACGCTGCAGGAAACAGCAGTGGTGGCTACGCTGCAGGAAACAGCAGTGGTGGCTATGGGGCTTCTGGGGGGTATGCTGGAGGGTATGGTCCTGGGGTCACTAGTGCATGGGACTGACTTTTCAACTTTTGTTAGCCTTACATACTGTCTTAGGCATAGGTGCGGATACACACCTATAGGATGATTTTTCTCCCCTTTTGTTTTTATGGTCTTAAATTTTACTTCTCTTTTTGACCTCCGTAGTGTTTCAAGCCGTCACCATTTTGTACTGTTTACAATGCTAATCATTAAGGGGTTGTGGGGTATATATGTGGTCTAGTTGCCACATCAATAAAGGTTGTGTAATGTTGGTAGGTATTGATGATTACTGACATATGAGGAGTTTCTTGCCAACAACTTTTTGTCCTCTTAATTTTGGTCGGATACTGGTTTGTAGATTATGCAATGACAATGTTTCTCTCGTTAAGGCATGCTCTTACTATTTTCAGCTCAATTTTTGTTGGAATTGAGCATTCCCTGTTTTGATGGCTAAGGTTTTGTAATATTAAAGTTGAGTGAAATGAATAAAAATTTTCCTGCCATATGTTTTCAGTTTAACATACCTTGATCGAGTCAAGCTTACAAGCATGATAATATTTGTTCGTTATGTTTGAATCGTAGTTTAGTTATTCATCGTTGGTAATATTCACGATTTTACTGATCATAAGTGTTTGGGAAATTATTTATTCATATTTCAAAGATTGCATTTATGATAGTTGCGAAACAATAACCGATTGGAATATTTTTTTTAAAAAAAGTTGCATTTATGGATGAATTTGGATTTTGTTCTATTCAATATAGCTTGAGGTTGTTAAAAGAGGGATGTGGGTTTCGTGTAACAGGGCGATTGTGGTTTATAAGAGGTGGAGTGAATGAAGTGGGCCATGTATCCGATTTTGATATTGAAGTCAATAATTCCGATTAGAATAGAATAATGTAGGAGAAAATTACGTATAGAATGATTTACCATAGGCGACTTATAAAAGTCAATAACTCTTCTCTAATAGGAAGTTCTATTCTAATGTAAGACCATTAAGGTTGTGTCAGTCTTCCTGATTGAATCTGAGTCGTAAAAACAATGCAAGTACATAAAATGAAAGTAAGAGAATTCTATCCTATTTTTAATATGTATCTCTAAAGCGAAGTGATTTATAATATAATTTTTAACATTAACTTCACTTTAATCTCAAACATATATTAATGTCACCTTAGGGTCGAATAGACAATTTGCTCATTTGAAGTTATGAATCTTTATTGAATGTTTGAATTTGTACAGGTGAACAGGAAAAGAAAAATAAAAACCGATCGTTAAATTATAATTAACCAATAAATGAAGTGCTTTTTGAATTTACAATTTTTTTGAAAGATCAGGCAAACGAGAATTTTTTATAGTGTTAATTATTTGGGGTTTATGTTTCTGCAGTGATTGCAAAAAGCAACACTTTACAACAGAGACAAGAATGGGCCTCAGCTTTTTTTTAAAAAAAAGAAAAAGAAATATGCTTTCATCAACTGTTGCTGCCAATGTAGTCAAAATTAAGTTTTTACATATAAATAAAAGGGGTAGTAGAAACATAATTCGTAAAAACGACACGAAACGTAAAATTTTTACTACTTAAGGTCAAGATACAAAATTATATATATATATATATATATATATATATATATATATATATATATATATATAGGAAAATTGTTTATCCTTTTAAATGACACAATTTTTATCTTTTCACTCTCACAAAGAGGTAAGACCCACACCTTTATTTTTTTTGTCAACTCTATCTCTTAAAATGACACAACTTTATATCATTTAAAATGACACACACTTTTTCCTATATATATATATATATATATATATATGCATGTAATTTTTTTCTCACATAAGTCACTATCAAAATTTAATAAATAACTTCATATTTAAAAGATATAAATTACATAACTATATAAGATATAAGTCCAAAAATATTAAAAGAAAAAATTGAATTTAAAAAAATTAAAATAGGATTTTTTTTAAAAAATTAAGTTTAAGTAAAAACGGTACAAAAACGTAAAAACCTGCATTTCTACCGTTTTTACGTTTCTACACAGCGTTTTTACCCGTTTCTACTAAGGATCATTTCTACTTACGTTTTAAAACATTTTTACACTGCGTTTCTACATTTTTAGATTAGTTCTTGACAACAGTGGTTGCTGCACGTGCAACAACATGAGAAGTTTTTTTGCCTAATTATTTTTTGACTATATTTGTTTAATATCAATTATAAAATAATAATAGTTATAGAATATACTTTTAGAAAGTGAACACCAATTTTTAAAACTAGTAAAAGCTTGTGGAAGAGATGATTGACAATGAGAACTATAATATCTCAATCCAAAGTATGATGGAAAAACTAAAATAGGGTGTGTGTATTTATAGCTCTAGTGGCGGACCCACTTGCGGGCAAATTCATAAAATTTTGGAGTTTTTTTTTTCCCTTCTTTCTTTTTTCTTGGTTGCATGTCTTTATTTGTCTTTTGGTTCTATATATATTAGGAGTAAATACCCTTATAAGTCCTTAGCAAAAAGCATGGTCCCCATTTTAGTCCCTTGCAAAAAAAAAATAGTCTCGAGGTCTCTAAAATATTTAAAGTGGATCAATTTAGTTAAAATCGTGATCCCTCTCAAATTCAAAAAAGACCTACATTAGTCTCTCAAAAAGACCAAAATGGGTCCACTTTGAATTTTGTAACACCCCGTGTATATCTGGAATATTAACATTACAACGTATTAAGCTGCACTTAATTAAAAATGCGGAATATTCTTTTTCTTTTCAATTATGACGTCATTATCAATTACCAACTTGATTACTTAATCAATTAAATATAAAACCAATGTCTGTATGTAAATTGCAAAACCACTAGCTGAAATACCTAAATATATAAATAAAGTGAGTATCTAAATCACGGAACTACAACTCGTAGTTCGGACAATATGTTGTTACATTATTACAACTCCGAATAAAACTAAGACATAACAAGTCTATGTGTTAAGGACAATCCCCATGCTCACCAAATCAACAGCGTCTCAACAAGATAATCATAAATCATAAATGAAGTTAAAAGCATAAAAGCAGCATGCATATCCAGCATCCAACATGTCAGCATAAATAACAGCAAATCTAACTCAGCTTCGGCCTCCTGCCGCCTGAGGTCTCAACCCCAACATTACCTGAACCTGAAATAAGCGCCCCAAACGTGGGGTGAGATCTCTAAACAGAAATCTCAGTAAGACAAGGGGTCCTCAAGGATCTTCCACCCCAAGCTCACTTACATGTGCAATATAAGTTCTAAAAGTAGTTATTCAATATAAGTTCCAAAACTATGCAGTGCAACAGATATCTATGACGTGTGTAATCACTATTCTACTGGCCAGAGAAATGCAGGAATATGTCTATACCTACATGTAATACAAGGAACACAGCTTGCACCTCACCCACAGCCTCACCATCTTGTATGTACTACATACTCAGGCTTACCGTATAGGTGGAACCCCACATGTATATCCAAAAGGCACTAGCATATAACAGCTCAACAACATTTCCAAAACATCACAAGCATGTAACACAGAATGCATATAACCATACCCCAATGGGACATGGTGGAACCACAACATGGCTAAACTGAGGACACGAAAGCTTACCTTGCAAGCTCACTATCCAGTGCCAAGAGTCCTCACAACTCAAGTCCAACACACAGCAGATCACAATCTTATTTAGGACCAACAAGTATATCAACATACATAGCTCAAAAGCATTAACATAAAGACTATGTTTTCCTTTTACGTTTTACATCTTAAGGCTTCCCACAAAGCCATAAGCCCTTAATCACATGATTCTGACTTAGTCCACAAACCCCCAATAGCCTACTGTTCACACAACACAACTACTATTCTACGAAATCCCATAATATTCGGATATTCCTCGGGCATATCCGGATATGCCATATCCGGATATCTCACTGACCATATCCGGATATACAATATCCAGATTCCCATATCCGGATATCCAATATCCGGATACCATATCCGGATATCAATATCCGGATATTTCACGGGCAAATATCCGGATATTTCGCAACAGAATGCAGTTTCTGCATTTCGCGAAGATATCCTTCCAAGGTTGGGTTTTTACCGATTAAAGACACTTAAACATGCATTTCTAGGTGTGTTTGACATTTCCCAACGTTAGGTTATCATCTTTTAACCATTACATGCATCAAGGTTCCACTTTTAAGCATAAAAACTTAAGTTCAAGTGTGATGATCATATCACAAGCTCAAAACAGAGGAAGAAGTGCTCTTGGAGCTCACCAATGGCTCCTCACGGTTCTGACTTCCAAGGTAAACGAAAATGATACTTAAGGTAGCTCTTTTACTCAACAATGAAGCTCCTTAAAGCTTCAAAACACCAAATAAAGACTCCCACCCCTCAAACACCAAACTCAGAAGCTCAAACACCCTTCATACAGGTTCTCTAACTCAGAAAGGTGACTCTTTTCTGCTCACAAGGCTCGCACCCTCAAGACCAAGTGTTTAGGAAGAGGTATCAAGGAGGTAGAAAGGTCACAAGGCTCACACAAGAGGGAAGAAAGCACTAAAACAGTGCAAAACTGATCAGCCTCCAAGGTATCCGCGCATAGAAGTCTTTTTTCTAGGGTTGTGTGCCTTTAATAAGAGTATTTATAGCCAAAACACACTTAAACACACAGTATTAACTTTAATTGCTACGCATATCATTTTAATCTCAAACTCATGATTCTTAACCTAATCAATTTTACAAGAATTATCATATTTTTATTATATTTTTTTGAGTACTTTTCCGGTACGCGCTTTTTCATAGCCAGTATCAGTTCTGGCACCATTTCTCATTATTTTAACTTGAAACTCATTTTACAAGTCCTATATATTATTCTAGTAATTATCATGCACTTATTATAATTTTCTGAGATACTTTTTTGGTACGCATTTATTCCGACTAGCAGAACCGGTATTTGCACTTTTCTTCCGAAAAGAGACTTTCAACATTCTTACTCACTTACTATAATTATTAGAGCCTCATAATAATTATTAGGGTCAATTATGGAATCATTTCCTATTTTATCATATTTAATTAATTAAATTCCTTAATTAACGGTGCAGGTTCTTACAAATTTCATAGAGACCAGGTGACTAATTTTTTTTTATAATGGGCTAAAGTGGGGACCAAATTTTTTGCTAGGGGGAAATAATTGGTCAAACTATTGCCTGCAACTTGTTATGGAAGCAACTAGATTATGAGCGGGTTTAAGCGTTGATTTAAATTTTTTTTACAAAAAAAATTTCAGGGGCAGCCCCCGCCACTAAATGTGCGGACATAAATTTTTTATCCTAAGTCCGCTACTGTATAGCCCCATGGATTAGTTATTGTGAAGGAAAGTGACCCTAAAGCAATTATCTCACAGGTGATAACCGTGAATGTAGAAGAGAACTATAGAATCGTGGGCTGTAGATCCACATTCTGAATTGGTGGGCGCATGCCTTGGCCGATTGGGCTTCCTCAAATACGAAGCCCAATTCAGTCTTAGGTTCACCAACGACATTTGAAATCATCCCAAAATATTTACAATCTTAATTATTATTTATAATGCTAATTAATATTTATGAACTTGAGAAAAAAGAATGAAATTTCAACAAGACAATCAAGTTGCATGACTCGATAAATATATTCTCAGATTTAGCATGGTATTTATTAGGTGCTGCAACGTGGACTTGTTACCGTGTTTTATCTCCGTTAAATTAGCAATTAAGTTGCAAATCTATTGAAATTTATTTTCTATTAATTTTTTTCACTTGAAAGATCAAATAAAAATAAATACTATTTGTAGCCTTGCTAACAATTATGCAAGTATACGCGAAAACAAGTAATATAGGACTTTTGTGAGTCCCAGTTATCGTTCCCACAATGATCTTTGGCGTTTTTGACTTTGAATAAAATTGTAATTGCTAATCAGAACCTAAAATAAAATAAAATGCTACTGATATTCTAAACTAAATGCAAGGAAAATATTTTTGAGAGGATTTTCTTTTTCAAATAGAGACTCATTGGTGAAAGACTTTTGAACTATTGACTAGAAAATTAATTAAATGGAAAACTTGTAAATTTTTTTATGATTTTCTCTTAAAGTTTTAAAACAGAAGCTTTAACTTGTGGTTTGACAAAAATACCAAGTGACAAAAATTGATTTAAAAACAGGGTTTGAGAACAAGTTGGGTATTAATTTCTCCTTCCCTCATTTGCTATTAAGTTGCTTTGACAGAAAAAATAAATGTTGCTTTTCTAACGAAAATATGAATATAATCATTGTTTCCCAACAACAGTTTTTTACCATAAATAACAAATGACACATCCCTGTATATCTGTTATTACAAGACCTTGAAGCACCATTTCCTTAAGTTACATGGGAGTAACTTCATCCCTGGAGCCATACCCATTGAGAGATCTCTCTCTCAACTTTCCATGTGCTTACAGTGAGGTCTAGTGTGAGTTATTTCCCAATAATCTCACACCACTAGGAGTAGCCTATGTGTGGCCATCACATAATAAACTCAGAATGAAAAACACACAGTAAACAAACTGGGAATTAACCTTTAAGCATCAAAACAACAACTAATAACAGATGAGTTCCGGGTACTCTTTCAACCCAACTCTAAGAAAATTAGCTCATCACCACATGTTGATGAGCATACAAACAACAAATAAAATGAAAATTAAAGGGAAAATAAATTGCAGAAAACATAAAACACAGCCTGAGTCATATTCACCAGAATAGCCTCGGTACTGTGCTGACAGGTTCTAATCAAAACAAAGTAACATCTATTTACAGTACCAGAAACAGAAACGTAAAAGAAAAAATGGAAAAAGAGAAATGAAAAAGAAGAAGAAGTCGCTCCTAAAGCTTTTACCCATAGCTTCTTTATATCTTCTACCCTTGCAAGCAGCAGTGACATGAGCCCTTAGATCAGAATCCATGTGTCTCTCTCTTCTCATAACTTGATTAGTCTTCCTTTGCATGTGCCTCACCAAGAGATCAACACCCTTAATCCGCTCCACACATGCTCGTCCTTCATACTAATGACAACTAGGATTTTGTCTCTTTGCAAGTGTGGGTTGGTTTGGTTCTCAATGAACCGTCGGTGAGGCTAAGGTTCGATGGTTTTCGACCGCAAACAAGGGACAATCTGGCTTGGGGGTTCGATTGTAGAAAGATTAGTCTAGAGGGATGGTGTGGGATAAGGATTGGATGGTAGAGATTTTGTGCACACGGTAGGTGTTAGGGTTTGCACGTTTTGCCTCTTTTGGTTTTTGTGTTTTCGATTCTTTTTTTTTTCTTTCCTTCTTTGCTTTGCTTTTCTTCAAGTTGGGCTTCTGATCAGCCTTCTCAAAGGATCAGCCCATTCTTTCTTTTCTTCTTTTATTCTTTTCTTTTCCTTCTTTGCTCTGGGCTCTTCTGATTTATGTTGTAAAGGTTCCAACCCAATTCTTTGTTCTTTTTTTCTTTCTATTCTTTGCTTGGACAAAATCAATAATTAGGCCTAAAAAATACAAATACCAGCCCATTAGCACTTACAATCAGAATCATTCATTTTTTTATGCAATTTTGGGGTTTATCTTATACACAAAATATTCTTTTCATTTCCATTTTAACATTAAACCACATGTTCCAAGTCACATATCATGGAATTATCACTATTATTTATATAGACAAGAGAAAAAATATAATATAAATATTATTGGTATCATTATTTTAATGTAAAAAAATATTTTGAATAGAGATAGCAAAAATCACTTTGGGGCAGGATAGATGCAATGCAACCATGATATTTTAGTTTTAGCTTTTTGAAGTGGTATTTTAAATTTAATTTCCCACCCTTCAACATCGAGAAGAATGCAAACATCAAACTCACATGAGTTAATAAAATCTTAAAAGCCAAAAAAGACAAAAAAAAAGCTGTTTGAATGAGCCATGTGATAGCCAATCTTCACAAATCCCACAAAAAGATGATATTTCTGCCATCAATAAATGAAAAAAAAAAAAAAAAAACCTTGGCTTCTCTCTCTCTCTGCTTTGCCTTCAAAGTTGGGTTGGTTTGACCCATGAACTGCAACGCATTTATTAAAGAGGACCATCATCACAAGCTATGTGTCCTCTAATGACAGTTATACACAATTTTTTATTAAATTTCTCAAATTCACTGAATTCAATTAACATTAAAAAAAAAGACATAAATTTTCTCATATCCCCAGGAAAGACAATCACACAATTTTTGTGAAGAAAAGCTTGTGGGTTCTCAACGAAAGGTGCAGGTGGAGAGTGACAGAGGTGAACCTCGCGACTCCTTGTTCTTCTATTAACTTGTCATTTGCGAATGACCCATTTCTCTATTTGCCCTTCTTTTGCAGTTTCCGAGGTAAAAATTCAAGCTTTTTTCTTCTACTTACTGGATCGGATTCCAATAATTGAATGCTAGGTTCAAAAGGGGTTATGTTGATCTGCACCAAGATGCTAAATTTGCGTTGAAAAAACCATTTCGTATTCTAGACTAAGCTTTGGAGATGAACCAGTTAGTTGAAAGCTCTGCAAATGCTCAAAGGGTCTCTAGAGTTCAAGCTCCACTGGTGAGTCCAATTTTTAAAGCGCATTTGTTTTGTTTTCACTTTTCATGTTCAATGCATTTGAGACATATCCAGATGATTTCTTGTTCCATTTTTTAAGTTTCCGCTTTTTGTGTTTTATAAAAGGTTAAATTTGCCAGCGTTGTCCTTGAGGGTTTTGGCAAACCCGAATTCCTATCATTCTCTGGTTGTGTTTGGAACATAAGTCAATAGTTATAAACCTTATACTTCTAAAATGGGAAGAATCTCTCTTTTACTTTTTAGGGCTCTTGGCTCTGACTAAGTCAAAATTTGATCTTATAAGTTCATTTGGGGATGTCAACACCCATCGTCCATACTCAACACTTTCCAACTGAAAAATCTACCATTTTTTTTTTTTGGTAACTAAAGGTTTAGGAGGAGGGAGATTGCCCCATTCCAAGGTATATTATCACAAGTCTCTGTGAGGACTTACTGTGGTTCTTACAAATGACCTTACATTGCAAGTTCATCAACGGGAATCAAACTAAAGATCTTTTTGTTGGCGCTCTTCAATTTTGTTTTACTAAGCTAGCATTTTAAATTTGGGGGATCTCAAATCCGTATTCCATACTCCACACCCCCTTGACAGAGAATGCTACCAAAGTATTTTATGGGATAACAATGAGGATTTTCTTTGTTTTCCTTTTCAGTTCATTGAAGTAGTGGAATATGTATTGGGTTTGACGGTTAGACTTAAAGAGAAAAGGGAGAAAAAAGAGGGGGGGTTGGGGGTTAGAATACTTTTCTTGGCATCATGTTTCTTTAGACTTAAATGCTCTCCTTTTGTTTTTTAGTTTTGGCTTGGCTGATTCTCATCCTCCTTCTATATACTTCCATTCCTTGCCATAATAAACTTTTTATGGAATTTTTTTGAAACTATTTTCCAGATTCTGGGAATATAGAAGTGTAATCTTAGTACAAAAAATCTGCTATGCTTATGTTTCTCCTGCCTTTATTTTTTGTTATTTTCTATTTTGATCAAATAGTGAGGCCACCCCACCCTCGCTAGTCGGGGTTTAATGAGGAGTGGTTTTGGTGGATCAAATAGTGAGGCCGGGACCTTATGCTTTTATCTGTCACTTTGAAATAGTATATGGATTTCTTTTTCGTTATTCCTTTTACTTTGTTCCCATGATTATCCATTTTAAGCTATCAGGTGGCTTACATGCATAAGACACAAATTAAATTCATCTTGGTTTATAAGTCAACCTGTTTCTTGGGCATTCTATCCTGCAAATTCGTCCTCTCAGCAACATATTAGCAGGGATCCTTTTGATTAAGGATTTTGAAAATGAACGGTTATCACAATTCTTGTATACAATACAGTTCTTTTTAACTACTCTCCGCCTCCTTATAAGTTCCTTGAGTGTTTTTATGTTTCTCCTTTTTTTTTGTTATATACCAACTGATATCCAAAACCCTAATGGATCCGCCTAATTCGGTTTCGGTTTTGAGCCTCTTGACCATTCCCATGAGTTACGACTTTCAAGAATCGAACCCACTATCTTTTGGACAGGTCAAATCCTGGGTTGCCACTAGACCAACAACTCTTGGGTTTCTCCTTCTTTTTTTTTGTTACCTTGTCTCTACCCCGTATGATCTAATTAATATTAGTACTTTCCATGTATCCTGACTAAAACAGTGGTCCTCATGACACTTACCTGATTCTTCCTTTTCTTTTGTCTTAGTTAAGAAAAATTCACGGGAGAGGGAAGTATCTTCATCAACACTCTTTCACAATCCCACCGTCACCACCTATTATGATGCTTGAAAGTTATTGCTTGTCACTATCCTTCCTCATTCTGGAAGTAACTTTTATGAAATGTATTACCAAATAGAGAATAGTGGGATTTTCCATTGATTTCCTTTTTTATACTAGGGAGTAATTATTCAGTGACCGTTTCTATATATTCACAATCAAACTCCTGCTAAATATCTCTCTGATTACACCCACATGCTCCTTGTTTTCCCTTGATATTTTTTAACCATCCCTGCTAGATTCTGGACAATGGTAAACCTTCGTTTAAGCCTCAAACAGAAATCGAGATATTTGATATTGTCTTCTGTTTGCATGATACTCTGAGCATCATTTGCTTGTAATTCAATTCCAAAATTTTTTTGTGTCTCCCTTATTTATTTTCATTTTTATGATTTGAAGATTATTGGACCTAAGGATTTGAATAGAAACTTTTAGCATGGTATGATTGCCTGTCAGATGCTGAGGATAGCTGAAGTGTGATGACATTTGTTTAATATTTTCAACAAAAAGTATGATGAAAAGAGATATTTTGTCTATCAGGGTACCTATGCATCTGGTATCTAATAGTTTTTCCTGACAACCTTCATCTAAATTTTTTCACTGATCATCTTATACATTCTTGGTGGTAATTTTAAGAAGGAAATAACGGTCACTTTAAAAGAATTTGGCTGGGTCTGGTGATGCATAAAGCAAATTCTGAATATATGATGAAATTTGCTTGGTACATCAGACCACAAATATGTACAGGCTTCGATATCGTAACTGACTTAGGAAAACCAGAAAGAAAGAGTTTCAAGGTTTATTTGGGGTCAACATGAGTTGCAATGGGAATCAAGGTTTATAGGGACGTCTGGAAGGAAGGGCTTAAAATTAGGATACAAGAGGCAATAAAGCTATAACTTGTTTGAAACAAATTAAAAGCATTTTTCACTTTTTGAAAACAATATCCTTGATCCTGAAAGTGGGTGTGAAATTTTCAGAAATTGGAATGAAGAATCCTTTGTGGAAGACATCTTTCTGATAAGATCAAATACATGTAATTTTCCTCAGAGTATAATACAAACATAATAGGCCTAACAATGGATTTTTAAAAACATTTTATAGCCATGGAAGATGCTTTTATAATTTTAGGTGCCAAGCATCATTTAGGATAAACAATGAACTTCTATTTCTGTAGGAAATTCTGAAACTGAATTGTGGAAAGAGCTTTTTTATTTCACACGCCATCTTGCCTGTCTTGGTTTAATTATTTTCTTCTGACTTTGAACAGAGTGTCATCTTATATAAGCTTGTGATTGCAAATGGATATTCTTACCCATCAGCATGAAGAGAAATCACTTCCCATTAAACTCCGACTAGCAAGGGTAGGGGTGAGGGCAACCCTTTGTACGCAGCCTTACCCTTGCATATTTGCAAAGAAGCTTATTCCCGAAAAGGAATAAAAATCTTTGCAAAAATAAAATGCATGTTCTTCTTTTGTCTTTTGCTTTCTTTCTTTCTTTTTCGGTATTTTTCATTAGTTAAAAATTGCTTTATTTGGCATCCTCTTTTTTCATCTTTTGATATATAATAATATTTTAAGAGGGCGAGCCTGGAGCAGCGGTAAAGTTGCTTCTTGGTGACCTAAAGGTCATGGTTTCGAATTTGGGAAACAACCTTTTTGTAAAAATGTTAAGGTAAGGTTGCGTACAAGGATTTTCCTCATCTCTACCCTTGCAAGTCAGGGTTTCGTGGGGAGTGGTTGGATATATAATAATATTTTCTTTAAAATAATCAAACTACTATTTCATTGCTGAATTTTTATTTTACCTGGGAATGTTTGTGTTTCTTAATGTCGCCATCTTTTTGGTATGTCAAAAATTAAACCTGTGATATCTATTCAAGTCCCCACTGCCCTGACCATCCAGGCTTTGGATATGAATGAATCATTCTTCACTTATTATATGCTTTAGAAACTGAGAATAGGAAGCATAATCCATATGCTTTTTGTTTTCAAAGATGTCGAGATTTGTTAGAAAGGAATGGTACACAATGTACCCTGTCTTGTCTTCTCCAAGGTGATATCTTCCAAGCTTTATAGTCAAGGGATATGAAGCTGTGAAACTTGGTACTGTGGTTGTAACAATTTGGGAAACATCATTGTTGACCTCAGCACCTTCCAATCTTTCTGAATCTCATTACGGTTCTGTTACGGTCCTGAATTCTTTAGATCTAGGTACTTGCGAAATAATAGGGAAGAATGAAAGAAAAGAGTGGAAATGGAGGAAAAATCTGTTTATTGACAAGGAAATGGAATGTACACTCAAGAGACGCTTCTCTTGCCAAGGGGGCATTCCCCTTTAACTGAGCACTCTCGGCCTAACAAAATACTTTTCAAAAAGCTATCATTAAAGGGGAGCCAACTTCCTTGTATACAGTATCTAAGCTGTCAAAAGTCAATAACTCTCTAACCACCTAACTAACAAGTTTAACTGTCAATCTATCACATGCCCTAATAAAGCCCCTATACTCCAAGCACAAGTCGTAACAGGTTCTTCTGTCGAGCTCTTCTTACTGATGCACAGTATGTGTTGGTAACCTGTAACTTTCTTCCCTTGCACCTGCCTTTTTTTTCCTGATATTCTTCTGACTCTTTGACAATACTCTCCCTCAGCCTAAGCATCCATTGCAGCGTTCATATGGGATTTATGACATTCTTTGCTCAAGGATGACATCATGTCGATGGTGATTGGGTTCTATCTGATCACTTGTAATGATCTGTTTGTATTTTTAGTGTTACAACTTACAACTTACTCCCTCTGCATATTTCTGTTAAATATTGTTTAAAACCGTGATATGAACTCAACCTCTTGGGCTTCTTCACAAATCTGAGATTGTGAAAGCAAATTGTGGTACATGTATGTATCAGCAGCTCCTTTCTTTTTTTTAAAATTGTATTTCAGTTAAAGATGAAACTAATATTACCTTAGTTGGTCTAATGATCTTATGATGCATGTGATGGAATGACTTATCAAGCTAAAATTGTTTGATAAAATAAATTCCAATTATAAAACTGTTTTATCAAACGATAAAATTTCGTTAATAGATCTCACTACTGCCCCACCTGCAGCATTGAAAATTCCTGGCTACGTTCATATATTATAATGTTCAAACTGAGTGACCTTTCTAAAGAAACTAAAATTTCCATCTTGATAAAATGATTTATTGTTTGGTAACTCAATTTGTGAAGTTATTCGTCTGGAACTTCATTTTCTTTTTCTTGCAGAAAACACCAGTATCAAAACGAAGTTAGAAAGGAGATAATATGTAAACCTTACTGTGTGGATGTGTATATGCTCTTGGACATTATGCATGTACATATTTTTAGTGAAATCTTTTTGGTGCTTTGATACTTTGAACATACTAACATGAAAAGTTACACAGGTTGACTCTGTTTCTTGCTATTGTAAAGTAGATTCAGGCCTGAAAACCGTTGCTGGGGCAAGGAAATTTGTTCCAGGATCAAAGCTATGTATCCAACCTGACATAAACCCGAATGCACATAAGAGCAAAAACTCACGTAGAGAGAAGACAAGATTTCAGCCTCCTCTCCTACCTGGTCTTCCTGATGATCTTGCAATTGCTTGTTTGATTCGTGTGCCTCGAGTTGAGCACAGGAAACTGCGTTTGGTTTGCAAGAGATGGTATCGCCTTCTGGCTGGAAACTTCTTTTATTCACTCAGGAAAAGTCTGGGGATGGCAGAAGAATGGGTATATGTCATCAAAAGAGATCGTGATGGAAGAATTTCATTGCATGCTTTCGATCCAATCTACCAACTATGGCAATCCCTTCCACCTGTTCCTGGGGAATATTCTGAAGCATTGGGATTTGGCTGTGCAGTTCTTAGTGGTTGCCACCTATACTTATTTGGTGGAAGAGATCCACTGAAGGGATCTATGAGACGTGTCATTTTCTACAGTGCACGTACAAATAAATGGCATAGAGCACCGGATATGCTTCGGAAACGTCATCTGTTTGGTTCTTGTGTAATAAATAATTGTCTCTATGTTGCTGGTGGGGAATGTGAAGGTATTCAAAGAACACTTCGATCTGCTGAAGTTTACGACCCGAACCGGAACAGGTGGAACTTTATCTCTGAGATGACCACAGCCATGGTGCCCTTTATTGGTGTTGTTCACAATGGAACATGGTTTTTGAAGGGACTTGGGTCGAATCGCAATGTTATCTGCGAAGCTTATTCACATGAAACTGATACATGGACCCCAGTGAGTAATGGAATGGTCAATGGTTGGCGTAATCCTAGTATTTCGCTGAATGGACAACTCTTTGCACTTGATTGCCAGGATGGGTGCAAGCTCAAAGTATATGATGGAGCAACAGATTCATGGAAGAAGTTTATTGATAGCAAGCTTCATTTAGGTAGCTCCCGCACTTTAGATGCTGCTGCTCTTGTTCCCCTTAATGGAAAGCTATGCATTATCCGCAACAATATGAGCATCAGTCTAGTTGATGTTTCAAGTCCAAACAAACGTGTGGAAAGCAATCCTCACCTTTGGGAAAATATTGCTGGAAAGGGTCATGCCAGGTCTTTAGTTAGAAATTTATGGTCAACTATCGCCGGGCGTGGTGGTTTGAAGAGTCACATTGTTCACTGTCAGGTTCTTCAAGCCTGAGATCCAAAATTTATCTGATAATCTTGGTTATATACAGTTAGGGAAATTGTTGCCTTTTTTTTTTGGAAAATCAATTGGGACAGGTTTATGGGAAAGAGACTATGCTTTTCTTGTAAAGATGTGGTTAGTTGTTGACTTTGGCAATAGAATGAGGTCATTCCTTTACAATCATGAATAGGGAGCAGATGTTGTAAATGTTGTGCAAAAGCTGTTCCAGTGCATGTTTTTGAAGACTAGAGAAGCTGTGAACTTTGAATTAGTGAAGAGTTTCCCGTGAATCTCAAAATTATATTAATCACTGTTGTATTGTTCTCAATCTTAAGAAATGATTGCACTTTTTATTGGTTTAAGTAATAATTACATTTTTATTTAGCCATTGCGGTAATTCCCTCCCTGCTCATTTTATTCATGTACCTTGTTTATCTTATCCCGTAAGTAAACGTTTGGATGATTTTTCTCTCTCAATCTTCAGTTGTTTGCGGAAGTCGTTATGAATGTGTCAGCCATTTTGTTGATGTCTTCTTTCTCATTCTTCAAAACTATTCCTCTGCTCACCAATATTTTCTTCCTATTAGAACCTTCGTTGCTACTCCACGTGTTGGTGCCACTGCCAGAAAAGTCATTTCCACAATTCATTGCGGAAGGTAAGGTAAACAAAAAAGCTAAGAAGAGAAAAAAATATTTTGCTAGACTGTCTTCTAGCTAAAATTATATATGCTAAAATTCAGTAATTTTTTTTCCTAATAAATTTGTGTAATTACAATAGAATGTTTTGATAATTTAATATATCATTTTTTTTTAAATTAGCTAAAATTATTTTCTAGCTCCGCCGTTGGCTGGTTAGATTTCAGCCCAAACATGGGATGCTTTTGGTTGCAGTTTCAGAAAATATGATCAATATATTTGAAACAATCACTTGCGAAATCTTGAAGAAAATAAATTTTTCTTTGTCATGAAATGTGTTCTGACTATTTGTTACTATTTCTCCTTCTGACCAAACATTCCTTTTAGTTCAAGATGTGCACAAGTATATATTGTTATGCTGTGATTTTGTTTTATATTATCGAAGTTTAAAAATCTGTCATGTATAATAAAAAAGAACCTTTATAAAATATAAAAATTAGATGATAGGAAGAAAAGGAAAGTAAATGATTTTACATACTCAAATTTCCTTTTTATTTCATTGAATATTTATATTTATTGATTGATTTGACTTTTATAACTTAGATTAAGATACTTCTATTATTATTGTTAGCTATTTGTATTAGAGTTGTCAAAATTAGCTGAAGCTCGTTAGGTAGTCCACAAAATTCTATATGACCCTAACTTATTAGGAACTTTTGATGGTAGGATATTTTTTAGTTCTAATTCTTAAAGTCCTATAATTTAGCGGGCTGAGTTGGAACTCGCCTATAGGTCAAAAAAAATTTCATTAAAATTTTTATTACTTAAAAAATTAAAATTATTTAAAAAAAAAATATTAAATAAAGTTCTCTAAAAATATTTTTAAAAAATACATACCTTTAAGTAAACTTTATCTTTTTAGGACAGAACCTATCTGGCCGAACCTATTTGATAGTTACGCCCCTATCAGTCGGCAGTTGCACACCATATTTGCAAATAGTAATACAATATTTGTACTATTGTTGGTACCGGGACCATCTCAATTAAATGCAAAATTGCATTTTCCTTTTCAAAGTGTTAAGTTTTTTTATTTAACATTTTTTATTTTTACCTTTTGGGTGTTGCTGCTGATGCTGACTAGTAACCGCCACCAATCATCCATCAAGGTCGGAAATTACGCACTTGCTTCACGTTTAGGTTTTTATAACCAAGGTTAACTTAACGGTATAAAAATAATAAATTTTATATTAAATTTTAACTATTGAATCCCATAATTATAATTTATTAAATTATATTAATTAATTATTAATTTTCAATAAATTATAATTATTAGATACACAAAAATTAACAATTAAAATTTAAAATAAGACTTATTAGTCTTATAGATACACAAAAATTAATTGATCCTATCTCTATTCTAAATGTACAAGAGTTTTAAGTTTACAAAATATCATATTTTAGATAACCACGCTATTAGTAGATAATAGTGTGCAAGAAATTAGCGTGGTTATCCAAAATATCATATTATATAAAGCTAATTTGACGACACTAAATAAATCACACATCATAAATTCTTTATAAATATCATTTGAAAAAACAATTGTATACAAAAAAGAAAAAAGAAAAAAGAAAAACACTAGGCATTAATTTTCATTCATTCAGATAGGATAAACAAGGGATCCTTTACTAGCCTTGTTGCGAGAGCAGCCAGGAACATTCTCGAACTGCTTCGCGGGTAGTTTCTGTGACAATGCTCCGACGAAGAATTCAAGCATGCCGGAATCGTGGTGGACCTTGATTCCGGTGACAGAGAGCCAGAGGAAGAGCTTCTTGGCTTGGATCCCCGACACATCGGAAACAGAGCCGTCACTGAGGTTGCCGGTGATTAGGGTTTGGTAGTAGACCAAATGGTCAAAGTGGACGTAGCAGGGTTCTTCGAGTTGGATGCTGAAGAAGCCATCGGAGGAGAGAACGTAGGAGACCACGTTGTTTGGTATAAGACCCCTTGGAAAGCCATACTCAGGAAGCAGGTCGTGGATATCTGTGGGAGTTGTTAGCACAACATGTCCTTGAAATACGAATGTTGAGCATAACCACGAGAAGATCAAGATGCGTGGCGACATGGTATGATTATGAATTTGGTTGAATGTCAATTTTATTTTGTTTTTAACAATATACTCTAAACTCGTCATATTTAAGTTATTTAAAATCTCGGGGCTTTTGCCCCTCTTTATTACAAAAAAAAAAAAAAAAATTATTTAAAATCTTAAATACATAACTTCTGTAAGCGGGTTCTGTCTGACTAAGGAACAGACTGAAATGGGTGACAACATCCCAAATTAAAAAGAAAAAAAAATCTTAAATATGTAATTTGAGCTGCGGATTACTTTTATATTGTTTTAAGAATAAAAAGTCATGTACCAAAATGGCAAAATTTACCTCTAAGTTTTTTTTTTTTTTTTTTGGTAAACACCTCTAACAGTTTAAATATATAATAAAGAAGAGGTTATATTTACCATTGTTTTTTGTTACTAGTTTCTAACATCAAATCCTAATGGTTGATTTTTGTTAATCTATTGATTATAATTTATTGGGTTATATTAATTAATTAATTATTAATTTTAATAAATTATAATTATTATAGTAATGAAAATTAACGGTTAAAATTTAGTGATAATAAATGAAAAAAAATGATGATAAATATAACTTATCCCATACAATAAATCAAAATCATTAAATATAAATAAAATTAAGAAGATGTCTATAGATATGTGAAGAATTCTTTCCCAGATTTTTTAAAAAAGATGATTTGTTTTTGTTGAGATAGGATATTGTTACTACCAATTAATGTTACTATTAATGTCACTACCAGTTTGTTTTACCGTTAGACCTACTATATTGATCCAATTGTTCTGATTTAACTTTCTAAAAAATCTTTCTTCTCCCTATTTTTAGTATTTTATATTTATTTTCACTTTGAATGATTATGATTCACTATATTTAATGTTTTCACTTTAAATATGGGGAATTATAATTATACAAATGTAGAAATAAATATAATTGTTGGATCAACATAATCAATCTAAAAGTGAAACAAACTTGTAGTGATATTGGTAGTAACACTAATTGATAGTAACAATATCTTATCTCTTGTTTTTTTAACATATTTAGACTTTAACTCTCTCACATGATAACATAATAAATAAAAATAAAGAAAATATATTTCTTATTTTGCATGAAATAATTTTATTTTACATAATATACAAACAAATGAATGGAATCCAATAAAAAAAAGGAGAGAAAAAATAATGGATTCCATCTTTATATATATATATATATATAGAGGGACAACATTGTCTCATAACAAATACATTTTTCAAAAATAAATTTAAATATTCTCAACTACCTTATACCTCTTCCGTATCCTCCACTTCATTTCATTTATATAAAAATTAGGTTTAAAATTTTTCAATGTTATAAAAAATAAAATTATTTTATATATATATATATATATAATTATGTAGTATCTATTTTTTTTTCTCCTGCTCGCGTGACTATATAAATTTCGTACATTTTTGTACGTATAGGAGATGAAAATATCATATCTTATAAGAAATTTTTTATCATGTAACGATAAATTAAAATAATAAATTTTAAAAAGGTATTTTTTAATATTTTTTTATTTTGTTATGATTAATTTATTTTTATATGATTATAATTGTTTCCTTTCGTATGACATAGGGTTTTATAAGAGTTATATTGTAGGAAAAGTGATTGTGTAATATTATAGAGATTCGTTTTGCGTGTCATAATTTCTTTTTTTTCTTGTTTCTTCTAAAAGTATGAGCCCCACCAAATATTGTGTGTATAGAAAAATTTGTTGTGTCATATCAAATAAGATCAGTTTTCTTGCAAACCCCTCTGACGTAGCACCGAACCAAATATTTTAAGAACAGTACGCAATAGAAAACTGAGTTTGTCGTTTACGAAAAAAAAGAAAACTGAGTTTGTCATCGGTAAGGTCGCGCGAGTCCCACGAGTTTGCGTATAAAATTACCCTTTCATAAAAAGATAATTTATTATATATTTAATAAAGCATTATTTATTTGACCAAAAATACATAACACGCACTAAAAATACCTACCACGGTGCTAATCCACATTTTTCTTTATTTTTATTTAACAGTGATTTAAGTTTGGGCATTATAAGCAATTTTTCTTGTTGATAGAAACAAGTTGGGTCTCATCAGCTTTTTGAAAAAAAAGAGTTGGGCACGTTTTAAGAGTGACAGGAGATGGTTAAAATTACTGTATTTTGCCTTTAAGTTTTTATTGCAATTGAGCAGACCGAGGATGTGATACATAGTAATAGATATTAACTAAATTCAATAAATAATGCAGATTAACATAAAAATCCCTGATCTTGTCCTTTAGCTAATATTATTGATTTAACGGATATGGCGTCCTTGTAAAGAGAAAAACAACATTGCATCTGCACGTTGAAAAAAATAAAATAAAAAGTTAATAATTTGTTTGTGTTATAAACTATTTATTAATTGTCCAATTCATTATATAACTCTTAGAGACGTTATGACTGTCGGAGACATTACAGCTGTTGAAGACAGTATAACCGTTGAAGAATAATTTTTCGAGCCTATAAATAAGATATTAATGTGACAATATAACAAGTTCTATCTCTCTTACCTTTATTCTTCTTCTCATCCTTAATAATTTTACAACAGTTTGCAGTGCTCATTTTTAATAAAAAAAATTAAAAAAGTATTTTTAAATTGGCACCGCCACTGAGAGACTCATAGATAGCATCGTTAGCGTTAACTGGAAATTGGCATCGCTACTTTCTCTGTTGATTGCAGAAGCCATGGCAACAAGAACCCCAAAAAGATCTCACGTGTTTGCTGCGGTCATCTTCACTCTGTTTTATGTCTCTGTTTCAACCAAAGAAAGCGTGTACGAACTTCTCCCAAAATACGGGCTCCCGAGTGGTCTGTTACCGGACACCGTCACCGACTACACCCTCTCAGAGGACGGTCAATTCGCCGTCGTTTTGGAGAAGCCGTGCTACGTGAAGTTCGACTACGAGGTCTACTACGCAACCACCATCACCGGCAAGCTCAGCTATGGCTCTATCACAAACCTCAAGGGCATCCAGGTCCAGCGCCTTTTCCTCTGGTTCAACGTCGATGAGATCAAGGTCGATTTGCCCCCTTCCAATAACATCTACTTCCAGGTTGGCATCATCAACAAGAGGCTCAACGTTGACCAGTTCAAAACCGTTCATTCCTGCCGCAAATCCCTCACTTCCTCTCCTTGCCATGGAAATGGAATTCGATCGTTCTTATCATCCAAGGTGTTTTTTTGTTTCTCTTTTCCTTTTTTTTTATTGTTTAAATAGTTAATCTTAAATTTAATTGGTGTTTTGCTTGTGAATTTTAGGTTTTAACTTTTTTGGAACACTTGATTAGGTTTTGTTACTTATGTGTGAGATTAAGATGGAGTAAATATAGCTGTTATAAATTATGATTGAATTTTTTTATTTTATTTTTCCTTTAAAAGAAGGGATTCCGAGGTGATATGGAACGTATACTTCTCAGATAACAAGATTAGGTCATGAGAAATTTCAACCGTCTAATGTATAAATCAAAGGTGATCAAGAGAAGAGAGCATTAGGATAGAGAATATGGACGGTTGAGATCATGTTAAACGAGACGTGTGAGGATCCATTGCGGAAGTGATAAGACTCATATGTTAGATGTCATGGTGAGGATGTCTTTGGATACCCTGTTTGGGAATGGTTTTTTTGGCCCGAATATGTTTATTTAATCGTTGAAGCCAAGTATGGGAAATAATCGATGAGATTTTTGTCTCTTCATATGAATTTTGACAGGAATGTTTAAACTTATACATGTGTTTCAATTTGATATAGCTTGCATAATATGCAATTGGTTTCATGAAAGGTGTGATTTATCCTATCAGATTCAGGGTTTATACATATGAATGGGTGTGTATGTTATGAGGTTTAGAACTATAGATCAATTTAGTGAATATGGGCAACAAGTGAAAAAGTCAAATAAACTACTTTTTTAGAGAAGTTGAAGGCAGTTAATATGTACGGATGTAATTGGTACAGCATAAAATAATATAGTTGGGTTTAGCCATTATGATAAGGTTCCAGTTGCCTCACAGTTCCTTGGTTTTAAGCAGTTTCTACTTGGATTGGATGTCCCTTATTAAAATTGACTTGCAGCCAAGCTGAAATTATGTTATAGCTTATAACCTTATAGAATTCACTCTCCCTGGGGTCAACTGTGATTCTGTGTATAACTGATTGCATATTAGGACTCCTCAACCTCCCCTGATATGTGTTTTTGTGTCTGCAATGTGGTGTGAGCATGTGAGTGGTTGCTTTCCAATTATCTGTTACCCATGTTATTGTGCAAAATTTATCAAAAAATACAGGCTCTCCTCAAATTAGAAGCATACACTTATTGAGTTTGACGATGATCATATAAGTCAATATAATCTGCAACCTTTTTCGCTTTCTATCCTCTGTCTTGGTACTTTTTGCTTGGACAGTTCTTATAAAATCAGAGAATAACTGACTGATACAATTCTTTTGCAACTTGCAGCTTCCTGCACCAGTGGATGACATTCCTATGCTACTCACGGAGTAGATGCCGTTTTATACTAGGTGTTGTATGGGATAATGTAATGACGTTGTAATCTGTCAGTGTACCTCTATTGCTAGCATATCTATCAAGCGTCAGGACTCACAAATCTCGAGTCTGGTTGCGTTATATTATGTCCTCACGAGAACTTTATGAACATATTATGTACATATTTAAGTTCTGAGTCTTCAACATCAAGTGTGCAACTTTCTGGTAACATTTAAACGTGCTTAATTTTGAATGGCAAAGCCGGATCTTGCCAAAACAACAGCCTTGCATACTGCCCTATCCTCAATTTTCCCACCTCCCTCCCCCCCTCTTATATACTAGGATGATTAGTTTTCTGACTTACTGGGGATTGAATATTACTCCATACAACTATAATGATACAGACTTTGGGAAAGTCTCGTTAGCTCGTAAGATAAGAGAGTCCAAAGTCTATATAAATTTTATTTTAGTTACCCATATAATTAATGTGGGACGTAAATCTCATATCTTGCAATTGGATTATAATATATAACCTTTTAAACTATACAAGTGCTTCCTTAAAGTTAATACTTTAGATCTTACAATAATCGTGATTTGTTTGACAACATGTAGTTAAACTTCTAATGAAACCTGACCGTACTATCAACTTGTAAGACTTCCACCATTCAAGTTTTTAACCATTTTAATTGAGTAAACAAAGAGGTCAAATCAGGTGACCTAATTAAAATGATTTACATTCAATAATATAAATGAGATCACTTTTATTTTACGTTAGTATAAATTATTTTTTCAATTTTGATTGTTGATATTATATCTTATTGTTTTAACTTTTTAGTTATTTGAATTTTTATATCGTTATAAAAATAATTTATTTCACAAATATATATAGGAAAAAGTGTATGTCATTTTAAAGGATGTAGAGTTATGTCATTTTAAGAGAGAGAAAGAGATAGATAAAGGAGTAGAGAAAGTTGACAACAAAAGTAAAGGTGTGGGTCTCACCTTTTTGTGAGAGAGTAAAATGATATAAGTTGGGTCATTTAAAAGAATAAACACTTTTCTCACATATATATATATATATATATATATATAGGATTCGCTTTTTCTGCCTTTACTGCAGAAAAATTATCTGCAGTAAGTCTAATACGATATCGTTTTGGGGCGAAAATCATGGTGTTTTTGTAATTTTAATTTATTTCAGGGTTATTATAGTTTTCAAATTTTTCAATTAAAAAACGACGTCATTTTAAGAATAAATGCAGATAACTTATCTGCAGTAATTGCATAAATATTATTCTGATATATATATATATAGGGGATATCTTTTCTGCAGCGATTACATAGAGCTGCTATTTGCAGCTGACCCAGAAAAGTGGGTCCCACTGCTTTTCTTTTAAAAAAAACCAAGATATGGAACTGTCTCCTATGATTTGGAACCGTATACTTGCTTGCTGTATGTGTAGCGGCTGCAGAAATGATTTTGCCATACATATATATATATATATATATAATTTTATGAAAAATCTAAATATTAATTTCTATATAAAATATATTAATGGTTTATTTCTTGCATTATTTGAGTTTTATGAATAATTATATTTTTTTAAAAATTTAAATTTGAAAACATAATTAGTTGAAAGAGAATTTAAATTTGAAAATTTTAAAAATGAATTAGAGACAACAGCTATTATTTTAAGGAAAAAATAATAAGAATTTATCCCTATGTATTTATTTAATAAATGAGACTAAACTAAATATTGATTGGTTTTAATAGGATAAATTGAATGCTTTTGGATCACTCATATTATTGTCAATGAGATTTGTTACAAGTGAGAGATTTGAATAACCTTATATAAACTACTTAAGGGGGCGTTTGGTAGAAGAAATTTTTTATTTATCTGAGAAATAATTATTACTGGAATGTAGGAGAAAATATATTTTTACTGAAATGTTAGTAAAAGGTTTTTGGTATGACCAAATTTTCCTAGGAATTTTAGGGTTTTTGACCCTTTTGCCCCTAATTAAATAATTAATAACCAATTTGCCCCTCCCCCAGAACTATCCACCATCCTGCCCCCATGGGCTAAACTCAGAAATCATGAAACGCGAATTTTAGTCGACTAAAAACTCACCTTAATCGACTACATTGTTTGCACTTTTAGTCGACTAAGCACATTATTTAGTCGACTAAATATCGCGAAAAACCCTATATCCAGACCTCTCTTGGTCTCATTTTCATTATATTCGAAATCAAAACTCCTCTCTTGGTCTCTTTCTCTTGTTTGTCAGCTGTGAACCTTCCAATCACCCTTCCATTTCATCCCACCACCTCTAAGGCATAGTAATTGTGAAATCATTGTCACGCTAATACTAGTTCAGGAAACTTGAGTTCCCAGGTTATGCCACCGCTCCGTGTTGACCCTGTTAGCAGTGGTAAGATTGTAAATTAAAGTTTTAATTTTGCATATATATATATTTGTGTTTTGTTTCGTACTGACGGATAAGTTTAAATTTGGACGTAGGTTCTGAGATTGAGCCATTTTGGAACGACAGCCCACACTATTCGTTCATTAATTGGGCTCACCCTAATGATGAGACAGAGATATTGTATGGCGACAATGACATCCACGGTGGCTGGCATTTAGGGGATCCATTATATTTGTACCAGGAGTTTCGAACTAAATCTGAAATGCAACATGCAGTCAAATTATATTGTATGAAGTCTCATCGTACTGCTGTGGTGGCAAAAAGTGATGACCATAGATTTGTGATGAAGTGTCGACACCATAATGATGGTTGTCCCTGGTACGTGCGGGCTATGTTGCCCAAGAATGGAAATAGTTGGGTTGTTAGTAAGTGGGGTAAAAAACACACTTGCCTAAACCAAGGCCTTACTCGGGACCATAGACAGCTGGATTCTGATGTAATCTGTGCACCCTCATCATCATCGTCATCATCATCCTCCACCTCGGGCTCAACCATGTCTACAACTGGAGCAACATCAGGAACCTCAACATCAGCCGCACCTGTGAACTGCCACACTCCTGTTTGGGGGTTCTTTGTCATCTTGCACTGCTCCAGTAGACGTTTTCCAAACTTATGATTATACCCTGTGGTCTTCTTCAAGGTCACATTACCCATGGGAACATCAAAATGCTCCAATATCCTCTGAACAAGACAAGCAAATGGAAGTGCACCCTTGTGTTTGGCCTTATACATCATCCAACAGATGTAGTGCCTCCAGTTCATCGAAGTACCATGTCGGATAGCCCACATGATGGGAATGTCATGCTCCAACACCCTGGAATGATTGAACGCTCGCGGAAACAGAATGTGGGTGATGACATAGTGTAGTATGCGGGACTCCACAGTAAGCAACCCCACCGTATAGGCAATGTGTTGCCCACGGACTCTTCTCTGCTCCTGCACGGCATCACCGCGTGTATATCCTTGAAGTATGGTCCCGCTGTCTGCGTCATATTCCACAGTCTGCGCAGAATTAAAGTCATACCCCAGTAACTCCAACCATACCGGAGCCGTCATGATGATCTCCACCCCGCAGACCCTAGACCTCAGCTCACCCTGATGGTAGCTGAGGTTATGGTAGAAGGCCCGTACATGCAGCTCAGAATATGAACACGACAGTTCAGCCAAGGTCCTAAGATGTGATTCCTCCAACCACCTCACAATGTTAAAACCTTCTTGTTCAAAAAAGGTTGTATCAAGTGATTTGGCCCCACAAATCGGTCGGTTAACAAAGTCACGGACAAAAGATTCATGAACCACCAGGTCATTCTCGAACAAGTATCCGAATGGGAGGTCGACAGCAGCGGGGTCTTCCTCTTGTGGCCTTGACGAAGACGGACGGTCTTGTCGTAGCTTCTGTCGTCTCTCATTTCCAGTGCTAGACGATCTTCTACGGCCAGCCATGGGAACAACTGTACCTACAATGCAAGTGGAAACAAAAATCAATGAACAATAACAATATTAAAAAATTTAAAATTCACTATAAAAAACAAAACCTAATCCTAAAATAAAACAGAAAACAGAAACCCTAACCCTAAAACAGAAACCCTAACCCTAACCCTAACCCTAGCACATCACAAAAACCCATTCCTTGCCCTAACACTACAACCCAAACAAAACAGCAACATAAACCCTAACCCTAACCCTATCATAACCCTAACCCAAAGCCTAAGGCACCACATCAACCCTAACCCTAACCCTCACCCTCACAACAAACTTAGCACCCTATCCCTAACCTAAATCCACAAAACCGCAAACAGAAATCAAATGCATGGAGAAAAAAAAAAACTAAACTTAAAACCAAATGCAAGTCAGAATACGTTACCTAAATGTCGATTTCGCAAGTGTGAACCAAGGAAGCTTCAATCGCACCTTCAAGGGTTGAGATTCGGACTTGGTTGGAGAAAGGGGACAGAATGGAGCGATTTAGTCGATTAGGGTTTGAAATTAACCCCCTTTGCGAAATGGGGGTTTTTTAAAAAACCTGATCTGCGACATTTAGTCGACTAAATAATGTGCTTAGTCGACTAAAAGTGCAACGAATGTAGTCGATTAAGTTGAGTTTTTAGTCAACTAAAATTCGCGTTTCATGATTTCTGAGTTTAGCCCATTTAGTCGATTAAAAGTGCAACTTAATCGACTAAATGGGGGCAGGATGGTGGATAGTTCTGGGGGAGGGGCAAATTGGTTATTAATTATTTAATTAGGGGCAAAAGGGTCAAAAAACCGGAATTTTATGATTAAATTTACTAGTGTGTGTTTGGTTGATTATTAAATATTAGTGGGAAAATGAGGTTACTTTACGAAAATAATCCCACTATATCACTTCATCCAACTCCGTATCTTCTCACATTGTACAATCAGACAACGTCATTTTGGTCATCTCATTCGCTTTTGCTTTTCACATCCTCAGGCTAAAAAGTATTTCACATATTCAATGGGCAAAAGGTTGCCGTTGCCGTACCTAACTTTGCATACAAAACCAAAGAACAGGGAGCATTTTTATACAGGAAACTTGCCTTTTTTTTTATATACCTAACATGCCATACGACTTTTTTCAAATTTACAATCCGTTTAACAAACGCCTCCTAAATTTCTTGTTATTAAACCAATTCTAACGGCTTCCACCTCATTTATCTTTGGTGCTATTGGAATCACTCGTCCCACTGTTTTTTTCCCGTGATATGGTACACGTTCCTTGAGAAAATGATCAAACTAATGGAAATTTTTTTTTGAAAAAAATATTTCTCAAATAATGCAATTTTCAAAGATAATACCGAAGGCAAGCCCATTTATCGCTTCCACAAAGGCTGAACAAGAAGAAAAGTGAGACCCAATTTGACTAGAGGTGTTCAAATATTTAATTTGGTTTGGGATCTCATATTCTAAACAAATTGTTCTTTTCTGGTTCATAAATTTTAAAAGCCAACCAAATCATGGAAATTCATATAACCCATCAAACCAAATCATATGCAACAGCTTAAAGCAACACAATTATATAATTTTATTTTAACCCAAAATCGTGGTACATAACAAAGCTTTTGGAGGAGGTACTATAGGTGCTTAAGTATAGCCGAGAGAGGAGAACGTAAAAGGGTATAGGGATCATGATTTTGTCAGAATAACAACTCATAAAATATAGAAATATAAAATATCTCTTTAGTGGGTGAAGAGAGGTTTATACAAATGAGAAATATTTCCCAGTGATATGAGAAAATAGTCATAACATTTTGTCCATTAGCTCCTGTGTGTAACTTTGTAAGGAATTGCTCCACCAATGTGTAAGAATGATGAGCTATGCAAAGGAACGAGGGATGCTCGATAATGATATTTATGTACTTATCATGGAAATAAGTCTTTATATGTCTACCCTTATATATTGAGCTGTAAATGTCGATCTAGAGCAAATAGTTAATTGCATTTGAATCTAATGTAATTTAATTAGAACTTAGTGCAACATACTATGATGTAAAAGGGTGTTAGAGGAAACGAATATCAATTGCCTAAAAATCACCACGCTTCCACTGCATATAAATTGCTTATATATTTGCTTTGTACCTACCATAGATATATATATATACTGTTTCTTGAGAGTGAGTTGACCAGACTCAGTATTAATAATTCAAAATATTGTATTTTATATGACAAAATTTCAAGCAACATATGATTTAAGATTCCAAATATGTTGACCAAACTCTTATCACGTAGAATAAAATCTTCAAAGTTTTCAAGATCAGTTGCACAAAATTCCAAACGAAATTTTATCATGAATTTTAGGTTTTATATGCAAATTTAAAATTATTTTAATAATTAAAAATTGGGTCTTATAGTCATATATGCATAACTTTGGTACCAAATAAAGAAGATTGGTCAAACCCAAGAGCAGGAATGAGAAAATGCTAGTGCATGGAGGATTAGTATAACTTTAGATATGTGAAAAGCTATTATTTAATAATTTTGAATGTTTGTTAAAAATTATATTATGATTCACTGATTGAGAAAATTATATTAGGTTTTACTTTTTTTTTTTATTAATTTCATTGCATTTCTTTGTTATTTTTTTATGGGAAATGTTATACTTATAACTACAACCATATCTTAACTGTTGATTTTCGTCAATCAACGGTTATTACTTTCACAAATCAAACTTTTTAATTAATATTTAATTCATAACGAATGATAACCGTTGATTGATGAAAATCAATTGTTAAGATATGATTGTAAACAAAAATAATTTGTAAGTATAACCTTTCATTTTTTGTATTTACTCTTGTAATTTTAAAAATTTAAAATATGATTTTTTAAAATCTTATAAACCGATATTATCTTTTCAAATCTCTTAAAATCCTTTAAAAGCCAGTCAAATCTTGATGGTAAGAAAAGTCTTTTAATTTTTTTTTTTTAAATCACTCTAATTCTATATAATCTTTTAAAATCTATAAATTTTTTTATCTCAAATAAAATCTTTTAAAATCCTACTAGAATACACTTCCTTTCCTTCCAAATTTCATATCTCTCTTTCTCCCTCTCTTCCATTAACATCGCGACTCACAGTCTCCGGCGTTCATCGAGTCTTCAAGTAAGCGAGAATCCAAAGGTATCAGGAGAATTTTTGTTTGGGTTAAAAGGACTTATGTTCTTTGTGTTTCCCCGTGTCAATTTGAATTTCGGGGGCTAAATCTATTCATCACTTCAGCAGCTATATCTATGTAAATTGATGGTCTCTGTATCTAAAATGAGGATTTACTTGTTTCTCTGGTTTATTTTGAATTCGTCTGTACCGGACTCTTATGTGAACCCATTTTGCCTATGAACTGATTGGAACATGTCTTATCTACAGACTAGGGTTTTGATTTATTGGAAAGTTTTATGCCTGACGATTTTAGATTAGGTTCAAGATTAATGCATGATATTTAACATTCCTGGAACGTTTTCCTTTAGTTTTTGTAGTTGTTGTCTTTTTTCTCCCTTTAAATGAACATGTCTTCTGGCGGACTTTTGTGAATTGTTCAAGTAGTTGCACGATCTTTCTTTTTTCTTTTTTCTTTTTTCTTCTTTGTTGTTCTGGCGTTTGTTTTCCATTGATTTTCCTAATTATAGAAAGGTCTCCATGACCTTCCAAAAAGGAAAAAAGATAGATGAATTTGAGAGTATAAAAGAAAATATAAAGAGAGAAAAAAAAAGGGAAGGAAAAACATTGATAAAAGGAGAGAAGAATGAAGACATATGGGTGTGTTAGAATGCTAGAGGGGTTAAAGGTGTGTTTGGATAAGTTTTTTTTTTTAACAAGTGCTTTTATGGTATAGCTTTTTTTAGAGTTTTTTTTTCTTTCCCAAAAGCTACTCTTTTCAGCTTCTAAGAAAAGCACTAAAACTGCATTTTTGTGGGGTTTTTGTTTTATTTTTGAAAAATTTATCTAATTATGATAAAAATTTAAAACATGTTTTCTAATGAAAAAACACTTTTTTCTTAAAAAAAGGCTCAAACAAACAGGTCCTGAGTTTCCATTCTTCATCCTTCCCTGCAGAAAATTTGACTCTCGGACTTAATCTGGCTCACATGCCGCTCAAAGAAAACGAATTTTCTAGTATTTTTCCTTTCTCCAATAAATTTGGTTATAATTCTAATTTTTATTCTTTTGACGCTATCATTGTGGCTCCCTCCAGAGTGTTCATGACAATACCTATAACCAATGTTCTTATACATGTGCTAAAAGAATCTCATGCATGATATTTAAATTTGTACAACAGCTCCATATAATTTGCATTTAAGGAAAGCGTAGGTCATCTCCAGGCTACCTAGCATTGCTCTTAGCCTGTGCTATTGTTAGTTTTTTGCATTTTGGATTGAACATTTTCAATAAATTTTCTGTTTATAGAAAAATACAAATGGATTCATCACAAAGTGCAGCTGCGGGGGGAAATGGGATATTGATCTCTCAAACTAATGACACAGCAGCTTCTGCAGCAGGAGCTGATGATTCTATGCAGAAGCTGAACCAGGTCAGCAACTCCATTCAGAAAACCTTGGGCCTTATCCATCAGCTTTACCTTACAGTGTCTACCTTCAATGCTGCCTTTCAAATGCCTCTCCTCCAACGCATGTATCTCTCTCCAATCCTTTTCCTGTAATACATTTTTTTTCTTTGATTTTTTTCCATGCTCAAAATTGATCATATTTTACTTTAATTTTCCAGCAATGGTCTTGTTGTGGAGCTTGACAACATGGTTAAATTGGCAGAGAAGTGCAACATTCAGGTTCCTATGGAGGTTGTGAAGTGAGTCTTCTTTGTGCTTCTATAGTTTTTTGATAACCTAGTATAAGGTTTTTTATTTTTTTCATTGGAACTTAATTGTTGATTTGTTGCTGGTTTAGTTTAATTGATGATGGGAAGAATCCAGATGAATTTACCAGAGATGTTATAAACAGCTGTATAGCAAAGAATCAGATCACTAAAGGAAAAACTGATGCTTTGAAGGTTGATTCTAATTCTTTATTTTATTAGCTATGGGTGCTTTTTTTGTTTTTATTTTATGTCTTCCCATTTATTTCATTTGCTTCTTTAGTCCAACTTAGCATTTATGTTTGTGGTAGAATTTGCGCAAGCATCATTTGGAGGAATTGGAGCAGAACTTCCCTGATGAGGTTGAAACTTTTAGAGAAAGTCGTGCTGCTTCTGCTGCTGTAAGTATTTCTTATCTGATCCTTTACTTCAGTGTAGAAAATAACTTTAGAAAGACCTTCGTCGTTGGTTTGTTCTAAGTTTATCACTAATACCTTGTTAAGATGAATATGTCTGCTATGCTTAGAGTAAGGAAGAAAAAGAGGGGGAGGGGGAAGAGGGGGGGTTGAAGTATGTCACTGCTCTATGCCGTGACAGCATACTTTGCAATTTCAGGTTCTTCTTTCTCCAATTCCTCACTTATCACCTCTGCCATCCTCTTCCGCTTTGGTTCGCTGTACTGTATATTTCTCATCACAATTGAAGCACAAGTCTTTTTCCTTGTGCTTCTGTGTTTCTTACCATATCAACTTCTTTACTGATGATTGGGGAGCGCCATTCTTCCCTTTCATTCCTCTTCCATGGATGTGCTCTTCCTTCTTGCTTCGTATCAAACATTCATACTCCATTCATGCCAGCTTGATGCAATTTCTGGTTTTTTTTATGCCAGCATCCTCACATCCTTGACATTTCTTTCTGAAGTAGTCCCTTAAATGCTCCTATTAATGTCTTTTGAGGCAAAATCTTCACCTTATTCACTAACTTCTCAACTTCCCCTTCTAAGAATATCAGAACTTCTGATACAATGATAGCTTTCTGGAACCAGTTTGTGTGATTCTTGAGAGTGGCTCATAATAATGCTCATATGCATTAAGCCAAACCATGTCAACAACTCATGCTCACAGGTTTCCTAGGAGAACTCCACACCTTTGTTTTGGTATGTACTTTGTAGCCATTGGTTGTCTCCATCTTCAAAGTGGAAAGAGAAGCCAGAGGTACCTTGAGGCACAGGTTTGTGTTGAAAGATCTATTCATCCTGGATAGGATAAAACCCCTCCTATCAGTAAAAAGGGAGTAAATTGTATATTAATTGAATGGAAACAACAATTATAGAATTTGCAGAAAATGAAAGAGCCGAAGCTCCCAGCTATGTAGGCCACTCCACTAGCCCTTCTACCCCTGTAGAAATAAACGTAAATAATGCCTACCTTCTCAAGAACCCTTCAGTCTACTATAAAGCAATGGAATAACAAACAAGCACTAATTCTCTCACCTTAACTGCCAATGCAATGCACCCATGCAACATACACACAACCAACTATTACACGTCACTAATTCTCTCTCCCTTATTCCTACCCTTCCTCTGATAAACTAAAATTGGGCCAGTCCACTTCTGTTTGGCCTGTGAGTCTGCATTAGGTACTGGTCCTGTTGCTGCTGCTGCTGTAATCCTATCAATCCCACTTAGCCACTTAGCCACTTAGTTGGCTTGTTTCCACCATTACAAAAGAAATCCATCTTGATGTGCTGAGGTGGTACATTTAAATTGACTTTATTAACCTTTCCACCATGGTTGTCCAAAACACGCTCCCACTTGTAGAATCACGTGATTTTACATGTTTCTCCAGCTTCAGTGATTCTGATTACAACTCTTAAAACACATTTTACTGGGATCTGTGGTGAATTGCGTGCAAAATCATTATAGGATCTGCATTTCTAGCGAGTCACCTGAACCCTGTGTGTAGATGGTTGTTTTATCTGGTGGCTGAAAAAAAAATCCTGTCTATCCCAAAACTTTCACCCTCCCATACTTGAACAACGTATTTTTACTGCATTCTTCTACCCAAACTGAAACCTAATCTCACCCATCAAAAATATTAGAACTAACCCTTTGAAGTTTTGCACCATTATTGATGTGCCTGTGTGAAATTGTGTATGGCCTTAAGCTGGACTGTGCAACTTTCCTAGGTTGTGTGATAGAAGCTGACTGAGAGTTGTACAACTTCGACCAGCCAACCTGGGCTATGGAGTCCTAGGTTAGATTTATGATTTTGAGAACCTTGTTTTCTGTGTTCTTCTGTCCTCAACCTTCATCAGTGGAATGATTGATGGCTTGGGCGATAGCCATCTCAGCAACCTCACTGCCTTCAAAGCTTTACGTACGTATTGAAGTCTCTCTCTGGCTCTGAAGATGCTCCGGCATCACCAGGTTTCTCTGTGGCTCCGCATATGCTCCTGCATCACCGTGAGTTCTGATATAGAACTAGAAATGGGAGTTGGTATTTTTGTATTTTAACTATACCACTCTTCTTTCCTTAACTGATGCTGGAGGCAAACAAGCAATATCAATCCAGGGAGAAGAAAACTACTGATATGACGCTAGGAACTGAAAAAGAAAGAAAATACAGAAAAAGAATAGTACCACTCACCACTTGGAGAGCGTTTGTGAACCTCCCACACTACGGCGCTCAATTTCTTCTTGCCTTTTGATAGGAACCCACCCCAATTTAAGGTGTACTGTAGGCAGCAATATAGGAGAACCTTGGATCACATGAGGGTGCATCAAGGGTAACCAACTGCTGACTCAGCAAAAGGGAGAAAACGTGAGAGCTGGAGGTAGTTAGGGGTGGAGAGGGAAATTCATACTATAAGAACAGATAATCTGTTGAAGGGAGAAATATCCTGGGTTAGTTTGAAATTGAGACACTTTGGTTAAGTGGCTTGAAGGTGAGAGCTGCATTCTCCACTTAGTATACATTATTTCTGAATGCTTTCTATTCCGACGAGGAACCACTTGTTATGCATTTAGATAACTCTTATTAGGAACCACTTACTAGCGCGTCCCACTCCACATCACATGGTTAATTTGGTACTGTATTGTAGATGGCAACTTGGCAAGGGTCTATTTTGTTACTAAAATTTGCAAAGGGCTTAGCAGGGAAAAGAAGAAACTCAGAGACTAAATTGAATCCTTGAGCGTATTACAAGAATTGTGATTTTTTCTTATGATTTTTTCTTCTGGTCAACGTAAATCTTTGCCTTCATGCATCTATGCAGGAGTTGAAACGTCTGCAACAGGCACAAAGTGTGCTACCAAATGGAGACGTGAGGGTTAAAGCAGAGCATTGAGTGATATATTTCTTATGCCTTTGCTTGTCTACAAATGGTACTCTCTCTGTGCGCGTGCGCGTGCGGTTTAGCACTGGCTCCTTCTTGCTGCATCTTGGTCATATGTTGTGAATTTGATGGCTCTTATATTTTTGCTTACTTTTTATTAATTGAATACCTTTTTGTGACTATCCTTTTGTGTGTGTATTACAACCAGCTTGAAGTGGAATTTTCTCAGTCGGTAAGCTTTGTCCTTTTGAAGGAGGGCTTGTGTGAGACTTCTGGCCGAAGGCAGCGCTACTCGCTACTCACACTCTAGCTCTGTGTGAAAATTACCGTCAACGTAATGTGATTCCTCGTTGGTTGTTCCAACGAAAACAAAGTATCTGAATTCTTATTACTCCAATGTGCTCCTTGGTATATTCTATAACATTAGTAACTTACCAAAAAAAAAAAAAAAGTCAATCCCATTCCAACATAAATGTTATGTTCTGATTTTGTAATTAGATATATTTGTGGAGATTTTTTTAGAACTTAATTGGGGAGTCTATTTCTTCAAATTGACCGAACCAAAGCTTTGTATCAATCAGAGGGTGACATATTGACAAACCAAATTGAGTTGGGCGTCGAAACTCATTCTGGAGCAACATTTTTGTTGGATTGTTGTTTATGAGATTTAACTTTTAAGAATCCAATCATTATTCTAATCCCTGATGCCGAAAATGCATAGAATAAATAGGGTAAGCATAAAATTAAGATATTAAGGAATCAACCTTTATCTAAAGGGTTTTATTAATCTCTTTTTACGTAAGATAGATATTTTGTGTTGTAGAGAGAAATTAGGTGGGTTCTACTATTACAAGAAAAAAGAAAAAAGAAAAAAAAGTGAGGTGTGGAAATTGAAGTGAGAGAAAATGAGATAAGCTACCTCATGTAAAAGGAGACTAATATTTTCCTTATCTAAATTAGTTGAATTCCATTGTTAATAAAGTAAAGAGAATTGAATTTGAATAAAATAAGTCACAACAAAGAAATATTTAGGAATATCGATATTCTAGCCATTTTTATTATTAATAAATATTTGTCTATTATTTTCTATTTTGTCTTTAGTATAAGGGTTTTATAAGAGTTATGTTGTAGGAAAGATAATTGTGTTATGTTATAGAGATTCGTTTTGCGTGTCGTAATTTTTTTTTTCAAAACATGCGGGTCCTACAAAATGTTGTGTGTGTAGGAAATTTTTTGTGATTATGTTAAATGATAGATGTAAACCCCTCAGTATAATTCTTAGATTGATTGATTTTATTTATTTTCAAGTGAACACATTCATCTTAAGTTGTACAGTTTATCCAAATATAGTGAATTTAACCAATTAGTGCTTGAAATAGTTAATTTTCATGGGTACTCATCTCCTACTTTACTACTTAAATAACCCTGCATGTGCTGAAATGGCAATAATCTCTTTGTATTGAACAAAAATCTCGTAGTTAACAAGGTTGTCAAATAGCTCATCAAATAATGCTGGGATGGTAAGCGAATTAGGAATCTTTGGTCTGGTTCGTGAAGGTCTGAGTTTACATGTCTAAAATAATAAAATTGGTTGTTGGAATCAGACTTGAATTTATATATGAGCTCGTTTAATAAAAATGTCTCAGGCTCCAATTCAAAAGTCTGGTCTTAGAGCCTCTCAGGCTGGCTTGCTTAGTATACTGACTTTTATTTTTATTTTATATTTTTTATACTCCTCTAAACATTCCCAAGGTTATTATATGAATATTGACATTGGATATTAATCATACGAAAGGAACAATTTTTGGACAATAATTTCCTTGCAGCCATAGATTCCCAATCTTTGACAACATTCAAATTGATTGGAGGTATACAATTTTTATTTATTTTGTTTAACGTCTTTTGTTACCATTCCAGCTATGCAATTATACCAAAACAACATCATACAGACATTCACATAAAACAAAACTAAAATCATACAAAATATAAAGGATCATGGGAAAATTTAAATAAATCAGTAACCATTGTTCACAACAACCTTGTGAGCCGTATACAATAAATCGGCGCACAATAAAATTGCACAAAACATAAATAAAAACATTTGGAAAACATAGTTATAAGCCATTTTCAAAAATTCTTCACGAATTGTCCAGATATCCTTTCCGCATCAAAACTGTTTCAAAAGAAAAAGTATTGGTCTAGTTAGTATACTGTATAACAACACGAATTTTTTTTTTGAAACAAAAATCTGATTACTTAACTCCTTCTCCAATTTAATCTTCTTAAGAGGACGCACAGATGAATCATTAGATTTATCCTCAATGGATTCCGCAAGATTAACAGTAGGAGTCAACAAAGAATTAGAAATATCAGCATTACCGGTACTCTCATAGGTCTGACTCTCAACATCCTAGCGAGAAATTAAAATTACATGGATTTAAAAATAAGTTTGATATCATAACTGTTGGTGAACGGTGATATTAATAACAACTTTAATACATACCGCAACTTTTCCTGTGGCAGGCGATAAAATATCACTGTCGAAAGCATGATCGAAGTTTGCTTCGTCCTGTATTTATTTGTCAAGATACAATCAATATGACAAATACTGCACATATGTAACAATATAAAAAACACAGGATGACAAATTATTATAAAAAACAAAATACATTCGGATTAACCGAAGACTTAAGGAAGGAGGTGACAATGGCTTCGTTGCTACAAACTCTTGAAACTTGGTATCTTGGCTCATTCTGTGATTCCAAATTGTTTTTTTTTAATGTTTACCTTAAATAACATTGACCTCTCATAAAGAACATCAAGTTCCACTGGATAATGTTCCATATCAGCACCATACATTAAGAAGTGATTTAAATTTAATCGTATGAACAAATTAATAAGGAGCAAAAAACACAAATCAAGTCAAACGTCAAACAATAAGATTCAAACCCGCTTGAAATGCTGCTCACGCAATTCCGCAACGCTCATTCCCAACAGAGCAGCACAATCTCTATCAAACAACAGGAAAGATGCAGAATCTGTGTTATAAACGACTCTTACTTGAACACTGAACCTGTGGCAATAAAACGTCATACATAAATGACTCACAACTTTATATTGATACATATATATAAATACATAAAACAGACAAAACAACTTACTTTGGATAATAATCATCCCAATGTTTTTGGCAGTTTTTACAATACCATTTTTTCAAAATCTTCACACACTGAGTATGGACATTTCTTACATGATTTATACCACCAATTGTATCTACTTTCAATCGATTTTATGGTTCCATACGTAATGCATGTTGTGACCTCGCTGCAATTCTTAATATCACTTATACATTTTCATTCTGTGTCTTTTAGAAAATAATTTTCAAAAGAAAATGACGATTGGCTGGACAACTGACTCAACTTCATATTACTGTCTATCAGATCAGACGAAAGCCTGAACATAAAATTATAGAGAAAAAATGTCAATTCATATAATAATAATAATCGGTACAACAGCTCGAATAACACAGACAAATCACAGAAGGATGTCCTAAACTACATCAGCTCGAATAGCAAATCACACCTTTTTTTGAAGTCCACAACAGTTGGCACACTGGGGTAAAAAAAAAAAATCTTTGTTGTATATTTGGTTTTTGTTATTCCAATTTTACCTTTACAAAAAAAAACACAAAAGAATTAAAAGAGGAAGATGCACATGTAGAATAACAGTTTAAAAAAAAAACCTTTGAAACACTTTATCTTTGCAAGCTAGACTACTATCACATTCTGGGGAGACTGATTATTAGCCAAGAAATTTTGCACTTCGTCCACAAAATGTTCCCGTAAAGTACACTCCAATTTGTGCCCCCTATTTCGAAGAGGTTGCATGAAGTAATCCGATATTAAAAGATTACACATAACAAAATACGAATATTCAACAATTAATGATGGTGGGTCATTAATCATCCACTTTGATTTTCATTTTTCTATAAAAAGTCATTATTATGAATTTTCTTTAATTTTTTTAATATTAATGCAAGTGTGAACACACAGCTGAAACTGAATCAGAGCGTGACACATCATCATTTGTTAGGGATGCAAGTGTGAACACAAAGGGGTTTCTTTGGTTCTCTTTAAGTATATAATAGATTACAACTGGTAAGTGTTTTAAAACTTGGATTAGTTATTAACTCGATCGAGGTATTGGATTACTGAGTCATTGGTTCAACCAGATTTACTGTTCACATACTAAAAAAGGGAAAAAGTTTAGCAATGTCTTTGTGGTTTACTCCAGAATCATCTATGTCTATGTGATTTTTTTTATCACGTATATCCCTGTGGTTTGCAAAAGGGTATTTTTTTTATCATATATGCCCATGTGATTTTTTATTTTTTACAAACTACAGGGGCATATGTGATAAACAAAAAACCACAGGGGCATTAGTGAACTTTTCCCTTAAAAATAATATAAACATATTACTTAAATTAAAAATTCACATAAAAAAACTATCAATGAGCTTCAAAAAATAAATTGGTTCTTAATGATATCAAATATTATATACTTCTAGGCTCCTAGTTCTAGACCATATCCTAACATTGGATTAAAATTGCAATGTAAGCTAAATTATGATAAGAAATGGTAGGCATAAAATATACACCAAGAAGAAAGTGTCCACCGTTGGAAAGAGACCATCAATGTTTATCTCCACTTAACTTATTGAGATCATTATAAGATGCAACTAAATTATATAAATGAACTGTATTAATCGAAAATACCTTCTTATTTTCATCTTACTTTTTAATCATATTTACCACAAAATATGAGCATGATTTAATTTAAGAGTTTTCAACAACCACAAAACAAAAAAAAGATTTACCAATACCCATAAAAAAAAGAGGGTCAATCGGTCTAAATCAAGTTAACTGCTGAACTGGTTCAAATGACCGCTCGAATCAAAAAACCCACCAAGTCATCAAGATCCGGATCGACCCGACTCGTCGGAGTCGAGTTTTAAAACATTGATTACGTAGATAAAATTTCTTTATAAGCTTCAACAATATCTAAAGAATCGAGTTAATTCAGAAATCCCCCCGTGTGAATTATGCAAAGATTGGAGGAGAATTTTGACCTGTCCATAGAGTATAAGTATTTTTCAATTTGATTTTCTTAAAATATTTCGTGATATCTATTAATTTTCCTTTTCCAATCACAAAATCCTATTGGCCCTCAACCAAAATCTTTAATTTAAAGTAAGATTTTCATTCATACAATTGGAGACGAATTTTTCTCGATCAGCTATTTGCCAAATACAGATTAATTTACTTTCTTAAGATTATTTTTTTATTAAAAATATAAAAAAGGTTTGTTTTTTCTGCTATCAATGTAGATAAGTTATCTATATTGAGTCCAAAACGATGTCGTTTTGAGGCGAAAATAAAGGTATTTTTGTAGGGTTTGCTTTTTCTGCAGTTACTGCAGATAAGTTATCTGCAATAAGCTCAATACGACGTCGTTTTGGGACAGAAATCATGGTATTTTTATAATTTTAATTTATTTCAGGATTATATTAATTTTTATATTTTAATACTAAAACAACGTCATTTTGATAATAAATGCAGATAACTTATCTGCAGAAACTCCTGAAACATTTTTCTCATTTTTATAATCATAATTTATTTCAGGGTTATAATGGTCTTTTTTATTATAATTTTTTAATTTTTCAACTTAAAACGATGTTATTTTGAGAGTGAATATAAATAACTTATCTACATTCACTACAGAAACGTTAGGGCTATAAAAAAAATATATTAGTATAATCTTTTTTAATGTCAGAATTCTATGATTTAATTATTTACTCAACCTTTTAATTCGGTTAACCTCCAATTGAGGTTATAAATATAAATATCATTATTAACATATAGTCAGGGTTTTTCGGAAAAGAAAGAAGCAAGAGATAGGGTTCTAGCGGCTGGGGAGGGAGAGAGAGAGAGAGAGAGAGGAAGAAGAGTTTGATCAATGGGGAAGAAGAGAAAAGAGAGGATTCAGAATCCGGAACCGTTCCTTCTAGATGCCACCGAGTTCGTGAAGTCGAGGAAGCGTTCCAAAGCTCCCAGGCAACACCAAAAGAAAGGAAAATTGATCGATGGAAGCATTAGCTCGAAGATCATGAAGGAAGCCTTGATTCAGCAGAAGGAGGAGGAGGCCGAGGAGAACCAGAATGCTAACAGTTCCTTCCAAGGAATCGAAGAGCCGACCAATTTCGAGGAAGGTGATGACGATATCGATGACTTTGCCGGATTCTCCGAAACTCAGAGTCATTTCAATGGACACGAAGTGAGTGAATTCTCTCTTCAATGCTTTTTTTTTTTTTTAATATTGAGTGAGCGAGCGAGTTTTTTTTTGTTATTCATCGTTTCATTCTTTGAAATTCAGGAGGAGATTAACGAGGATGACGAGAGATTAATTGAAGCATTCTTAGCGAAGGAGCAGGGTGGGCAGAAAACACTTGCAGACCTCATTGTTGAAAGAATAAAAGAAAAGGATGCTTCCGTTGATGCTTCCGTTGTTTCAGGTAATATTGAAATTCATTTTATTTTCTTATGTTTGTCATGTTTTGTTGTTTTAAGTTTTGATCTTCAGTCTTGTTATTTATGATATCTTCTATGTGCTGAAGATCGACCAGTACTTGAAGTGGGTAAACCAGTAATTGACTATTACAAAAGGTATATTTAATTTATCAATTCAAATTATTTTGATTAACATGTAGGTTAGATAATAAATTCGGGTTGTTATGTGTTATCATATGATGCAAGTGTCATCTTTAATGCTGCAGGGTTGGACTTTATCTTAGCAGATATGAAAGCGGTAAATTACCCAAGGCATTCAAACACATCACTTCCTTGCTACCTTGGGAGGAGGTTCTGAATGCAACTGAACCTCAGAACTGGTCACCAAATGCTATGTACCAAGCCACTAGATTTTTTGCGTCTAATTTTGGTGTCAGAAAGGCTGAACGTTTCTACAGGTTTGTCTTGCTTCCAAGAGTGAGAGAAGATATAAGAAAGAACAAACGACTGCATTTTGCTCTATATCAGTCACTGAAGAAGGCATTGTATAAACCCGCCGCATTCTTTGAGGGAATTCTACTTGCATTATGTGAGGTACTCAATAATTTTTAAATTTGTTTTAAATTTTTGAGTTCCTAATTCATCATTAGTGGGTGCTTTTTTAGGTTCTTTCTGTGACATTCTATTAATGCTTAAGTTAATTGAATAGACTCTTTTGTCTGTTTAATTTCATATTCTTTAAGCTTTTGGCTCATGTTAAATAATGTTTGATTTCATGTTTAACATTCTGCAATATTTAAAGGACTCATGAAATTGGGTTTTGAGAATTTTGTGTATCATTTATCCTTGAGAGTGACATGTGCCCTATGTTCTTTGTCATAATTTTCAGAAAAAAAGAGAGACAAAATCCAACAATGACCTTTTTTGGAAAAGATGGAATAACATAATGAACGGGAAATAAACTAGACAAGGCAATTTTTTACATCATTATGATGGATTGTGAATGACTTATCTGTTGTAGTACTTGACAGATAGAGTTCTACTGTGATTCTGACTTCTGAGTAATATTGCATCTTTAAATATTAGTTTGCACCCATCGTAGGGAATTGGATCCCCACCATTTTTTGTTGCCTTTTCTGTTAAGTTGCTTTAACAATTACTTTCAAATTGCTTTTGAAAGTTGGTAAATCACTTCCACCTCCTCTTATGTTTTGTAGAATGACAAACAGATTTCCATTTATTTTAGAAATTATAAGGTTTTCTCCGTTAATGATATCATAATTATTAATCGTCGAAGGAGAATATTACAATTTTATTTTAGTTTACATAAACCATATGGTTCTAAAAAAAACCTAAAATCCACTTGTTCATTCATTATCATTGTGGAGTTTGACGCTATTCTTCATCTACAGTCACGCACATGCACCTGCAGGGAAGCAGTCATTATTGGCAGCATTATAGAAAAGGTTTCTATTCCTCAACATTATTCAGGGTATGTAAACTTGGTCAATAATGACTTGAAATTATAAAAATTGGATGCATGATAAATGTTTGGTTTTATCATGTAGAGTTCGCTGGGATGTGTGCCATAGTAGTTGAGAGTTGGTTTCTCAGATTTTAGCTGAAGGGACTTAGCATTTAGTTTTGGAGAAAGGATACAGGGATGGGTTTCTTTAGTAAGCAGTGCAGATTTATTTGAATATATCTCCTTATTGCCATTAACCAGGAAAAATTGCTTTTCTTCTTTTTCATTTTCAATGTTTTAGTTGCGTGCTTGGATTTCCACACTTTTTCCTGCAGAAAAGAACTATTTTCTTGAACTACGTCATTTGTTTATATTCTATATTGCTGTGTTCTAATTTGGTGGTAAGTCTATCTGTTGGCATTTGTTGGTGCTTAAAGTTCAAGAGTTACTGTCAGATATGGGTAGTTAGTGCACTCTTGGTTCATGTTGCGTCTGAAATCAAAAGTTTGAATTACTTGAGTTTGAGTCATATCCAATATCTGATGGACCCAAACATCTGGATGTGTATGCAGTGCTGCGCTAGTGATGCTTGCTGAGATGGAATATTGTGGCTCCACAAGGTACTTAGTGTTGTAACCATTCCATGTTTGATGAGCATAATTTGTACAAAGCTTAGGTGAAAAAAAAAATAACAGTGAATAGGGTGTTAAACATTACTGTCAAATTGTGAATTGGAATTTGGAAGTTTTGAAAGGGGAATTCAAAGTTAAAATTTGCTAAAATTTATGTTGCAAATAATAAATCATAATCTAACCATTGTCTTATATATATATATAAGACCTGGTTAATTGTTATAAAAAATAGTAAGTGATGTACCAAGTCTTCTGTAATATGGGAGTGCCAAAGATATTTTCATTCAATCCGATATGTTTTGCTTGACTATCTTGATGAAACACATTTCCCCCCCTCAGAATGTGATAGAAACTAATTGTGATAATAATTGCAGCTACTTCATAAAGCTTCTTTTGGAGAAAAAGTATGCTTTGGACTATGATGCGGTTGATGCAGTTGTCGCTCATTTTATGAGATTTCATAATGAAACTAGGATAATGCCTGTTATATGGCACCAGTCACTTCTTGCATTTGTACAGGGGTCAGTGATTCACCATTTTCCTAATTCTTTGATATATGTGTCTTTCCTTGCTTGATTAATGTTTAATATACAGATTTATTTTTCAATGAGTTTGTGTTGTCTTGCACAATCTTAATGCCCAACAATCTTGTTCTAATTATTTTATGCTTCTATAGTGTGTAACCTGGTCTTGCTTATATATGTATCATGCTATCCTAAGCCGTCCAAAGTTGTAGCTATCATTGATTTCCCTGTAGGCATTTGAATTTTAAGCTGTTATCATTTGATATTTCTTTCAGATACAAAAATGAACTGCAGAAGGAAGATAAGGATAACTTAAGGTTTCTACTGGACAAGCAACATCATAAATTAGTGAGAGCACTGTCTTTGATGGGCTACTTTGCTTGTGCTTTAAATTTCTGGAGCACTGTCTTTGATGGGCTACTTTGCTTGTGCTTTAAATTTCTGGTTGTAATTGTTATTAATTTCTCTTACTGCAGGTTACACCTGAAATTATTAGAGAGCTTAACCACAGTCGCAATCGAGGTGAAAAGGAGGAGGAATTTATATCAATATATATCCTTTTCTTTTTATTTTCTTCATTACCCTACTTTTCTTTCCTAATATGGCTAGGTATCTGTAGTACACCTTATGTTTGAGGATCAGGGGAGACTTAAGGTAAAAAATCAGATTTGAATTTAAGCTTCTAAATGTTGAGATTGCAAGGAAAGAAGAATTCAGATTATATAAATAATTAATCCTGTGAAACGTCTTCTTTGAATTTCTTCTCAAAAAACTGTGAAAAGTCTTTGTTACTACATTAATAATGGGTATGAGGGCTCAACAAACCTAATCAACAAAACATTATTTTCCTTTAGTTTTTTATTTAAATTTATATAAGTAAAGATAAATTATCCAAAGTATGAAAATACATTTGCAATTCTAGGATATTATGGCAGGTGGACTGTCCTGTGTATTTGGTGGTGTTCCCATTATGGTGGCATGTCTTGTGTATTTGGTCGTTGTCTCTTTTGATTAAAGAGATCTGTATATTGAAGTTCAAGTGTTGATTTGAACTAAGATCTCGTTTTAATTGATCATATGTCTAACTCTAACTTACATGGAATTAGTTTGATTATGTCTGTCCGTTTTTGCGTTCCGTACTGTTTCCTTGACCACCCAATACCGTCTTCAGCATCTGTGATTATTAAGACTATTGAAGAAGATAGATTTGACATTCCAGGTGTGCCGATGGAGGAGGACTAATTTATTTTGTGGTATGGTTCTGATTTTGTCTTTAGATTGTGCTACTTTTAATTGTGGTCCATTTCTATCTTTGATCCTGTTAATATGTTACACATTCATCTTGTGTGGAAAAATCTGTGGTATCTTGTTAAGTTGACACTGATTGAAAATTGGATGACTGTTGATTGAATCTTGATGCCAAATCCAATGGTCAATGCTGTAAGGGGGGCCAAAATAAAAGGTATCATAGAAACCTCGTTCTTTTATTCACCAATGGGCGGCATAATTGGTTTTTTCATTACTGAATAAGATAATAGGCGGTGTGTAATTTTTTTCAATCAGCAGTGAACTCATGACTTGACTACTGATCCGAAGGTGATGATGGGAAGCAAGGAAGTTGAATGAATCAAACTGAATTTATTTTTTCTTACACATCCCATATCACTTGTTTGTATATGAAAAAAAAAAACGTTTATATCTAAGCAATCTAATTTGGCTGGAAGCTGAAGAACTGTTACTTACCATTTCGAATTTGATATTGTAATAGGTGGTTTTCTATTTTTTGTTGTCTGGCTCCTATTTTTATTTATTTTTTAAACCTTTTGGTGAATGGTGAATGGTGAATGGTGCTGGAGTTCTGTTTGATGTTCTATCGTTTTAACAGTTTTCCAAGTCCTGTAACGTTAGTTTTCTATTGCAGGTTTTTTATAGGGTTTCCCAAGGGGGGAAATGTTCGGGACATGCTCTTCATCTTCATGCTGAGTGTAGTTTCGCGGTGTTACTTAAGCAACATTCTTTTAGCACTTTTGAGGGTTTCAGATTTTTGTTATATAGTATATGATATTGGATTTTGTAGCAATTGCCACATGGTAGGGAGTTTTTGCTGTGAATTTATGGAATCTCAGTGGTATTTCCTTTTCTAAAGTTTTTTTTCCATCGGGGCAGTAAAATACAATTCTCTAATTTAAGGTGATTTTTATGCTGTTTATGGTTTTGACTTTTAATTTTTCTGTTCCATTTAATTTTATTTAAAGAAATTTGTTCTCTGAAAAAAAGTAAGACGTATGTATAAAATCAAATTAAAAGATAAAATAAAATAATGTCATTAAAAGTATATATAAATTTATGGTTTAACTGAAACTAATTTTTTGTTTGTTTTAGTCGACTAAAATTCGGATATTTATGTATGTGAGCGATTTGGATAAAGATTTATTATTAAGACATTCTTATATTATTGAAAAATATCTAGAATTGTGAAAATTTAATTGAAATTAACCAAATGTAATAAATCAAATTAAAATCTTAAGAAATAAGATTGCGTTTGAGTTTGGATCGTGTCATTGAGCCATATGTAATGAAATAAGAGAGTTTTTAATATTAAATAACGAGAAAAATCAATGGTATACCGTATATGTTAGCAGGAAATTTTATTAGAATTTTTAACTTGAATTTAATAAGACCATAATAAAATAAGTTAATGCTATTATCAAGATGAATACGAATCAAGATAAATAAAATTAATTAATCAAGTAGATAAAAAAAAAGACTACATAATGAAGGATAACGACAATAAAGTTAAGAGCTATAATTTAATAATAAGAAATAAAAAATAAAGTACAATAATAATATTTAATTATAAATTATTATTAAATTATGATATACCATATATCATACTTTAATAATAATTACCCAAAAAAAAGTATGATAAACTTCCACACCAAAAAAAAAAGTATGATAAACTTACCCAAAAAAAGAGAGTATGATAATTTGTTCCAGACTTCCAACAAAAAAAAGTATGATAATTTAATGATTCAAATGGAGTTATGACACTCGTACGCTTAAATTCAATTAAAATTTAGATACTTATATATTTGAATTATAAAAAGGGAAAAACTAATATTATGTTGTAGGAAAGTTCTTAGGTCATGTCATAGAGACAAGAGATTGTGGGGTCCACTATTTTTAAAATAAAAGAAAAATAAAAGAATTGATGGGCCCACTTTTATGTTTGTGTAGGAAGATTGCTTGTGTCATGTAAAAAGAGGAAAACATTACCCTTATAAAAATGAGTTGAGAAGCGTTAACATAAGCCAAAATTAATATATTCACTTAACAGTAAAATTCTCCCACATTTGAATAAGACAAATTCTTCAATAGAAGCGTCAATTTAGGAGGCGTTATCTCTTCTGGCTATGATTACGGATTGCGTGAGCATCCTAATTAAAAGATGTCTACATCCAACATCCAACCAATCACGCAGATACCAGATGTAAACATTGGACATATTTTATTTAAGTGGCAAGGAGAGATTCTTCATTAATTAGAGATCTTGATTTCCAATACTGTGTTAGGAGAATTGCCCCCAATCTGAATCAGACACACACTATATATATGAACCAAATTAAATCGTTTTTTTTTTAAATAAAATAAAAAATAAAAAATAAAAAATGGAGCACGACTTTTCGAGAACAAAGTTCTTTAAAGCATACAACCTTAATGTTTAAATAAGGGGGTCCCTTGAGTAATTCCATTAGTTGGGAAATTAATTACACATACCACATAGGATGGGCACACTGAGGAAATAAGTAAATGATAGACAGAGACAACACTATAAGTCTATATAACCTAGTAACCGACTTTACCAAAGACTAGATACATATATATCTTCTCTTCAAAAAACTCTTTTTGGGACAAATATTATAGGGAATTGAATTATCATCACACAGATACAACAACCACAATATGTCATATTCTTTGAATCTTGACCTCTCTGTCATGGGTTCAAACTAGGAAGAAGCAGAAGTAAGATATGAAAACAAATGGTAAAATCCCACAGAGCACCTCTGCCACCAGCCTCCTCTTTCCCCACCCACCACCGCTCTTGTCCTGAGTGCTTGTTCCCTTTCCAGCACCACTAGTGACATTACTAGCTGCAGTGAATTTTCAAATTACAAAGTTAACCAAATTCACAGATAGTACAAAAACAGAACAGATGATCATAAACAAAGTGAGATTCTTAATAATAACTAAAAAATACTTACCGACAGTGGAATTAACTTTTGCCAAGGACTTATCAAATCCTTCAAATACCTTAGCTTCTGGAGAGTTAGGTGCCAAATGCAAAAGATCTGAACACAATTAATATATACATATTAAAAATACAAATATAAAAAAATCATTCACAATATTACCGAGTTTCTTAATTATTGAAAAAATAAAAGTTAAATTACATAGCTTTAGTACAAGAGGAACAAAGGGTCGACATAGATTACAGATAGATAGATAGATAGATAGATAGATATACTCACCAACGCACTGAGTAATATTAGTGGGTGCGTGACAAGCAGCTGGTAAGTTAAGAGCGAGGGTAACGTTGATCTTGAGGCCAAGGTTGGGGTCGTCACGATCTTTGATGAGGATACAGAGACATTTTTTACTCTTGTCAACAACCTCTTTGAGGCCAGTGCAGCAATCTATGGTGGGGGCTTTGGCGTCACCACTGGCATAAGGAAGACAGGCAGCTAAACCAAGTAGTTTGTCACTACATTCTGCTTTGTCTTGGTTTAAATCTGAGCTTCCAAAACCAACCAAAAGGAGCACCAAGGTTGAGGAGAAGAGTGTTAGATACGTTTCCCTTTTGGAACCCATTTGGAGAAGATGCCAAAAGAAAAGCCACAAGAAAAAAGTTAGCAGTGATGGGATGGAACTTCTCTCTTTCGAATGCTTTACTCTCGCTTATGAGTTGTAACTTTATTAAGTGTATCTCTATCTACATTTGTTTGCACACCTTTTTTATTAGTTGTGAATTTATACTACTTTAATTCGATTCATGCAAAATACATGTGATCTGTTTTTTTTTTGCTTTTGTTAAAAAAGAAAAAAGAAAATGGTAGTAATAATTTACGTAGCATCGATACCAACACGGAACATGACATTTCGATACGTTAATTCTAAAAAATGTTAGATTTCGATACGTTAGGACACATTTTGATATTAACTAATATTTTTAATTTATATTGCGTATATTATATTTAATAATCAATAATTTAACAAAAAAATAAAGCTAAATTTATCATACCCATTAATTTTGTAAAGAAACATAATATATCACAAATATTTATATTAAATTTAATAAAATGGTAATAGTAATCCAACGAATCAAATAGTTATAACTAAAAATGCGACACAACCTTTAAACTTTTTTTAAGTTTCTACGACACACGTTGGAGTATCGGAGAATGTCAGATACAATACGTCGAATTTTTTGAAATGTCAGTGCTTCATGACAATAATAACTAAAATTCGATCTTTTTCTTTGCTTTAATATTTGAGAAAATTGTGTATCATTTTAAAGGATGTAAAGTTGTGTCATTGTAAGTGAAATAAATAGATAGATAAAGGAGGAGAGAGACTGAACAAAAAAATATAAAGGTGTGGGTCCCACCTCTTTGTGAGAGTGAAAGGATATAAGTTGTGTCATTTAAAAGGACAAACATTTTTTCTTTAATATTTTCATATTTTTTAAAGGGTATGATGTTTGTCATTTTAAATGATATAAGTTATGTCATTTTAGGAGAGAGATAAACACAAAAAAATAAAAATTATGGAAGAGAAAAAGTGGGTGGTTTTTTTTTAATTTAAAATTTTAATAATAATTTTTTTGTGTGTCAATCTCTCTCCTAAAATAACATAACTTTATATCTTTTAAAATAACAAACACTTTTCTCTCTTTAAAACGTGAGACGAGTCTCACAGTGACTTACACGTTGCAAAACAGAGATTATTGACAAAGGAATCCGAACCTATATAAACCATTCAAATTAAACCCTTCTATGTAAAAGCTAATCATTTATGTTAAAAAGTATTATTATAATGAAAAAATACAAGTGAAGATAAGTACAAATATTAACTTCCTTAAAAATTAGGAGGAGAATATTAATAAGGAGGCCACCTTAGACAAAAACTTTAATTTAAGTATTAAGTAGTTAAACTTAAATTTAATGATTTATTTTATTTTATTTTTTAAAATATACCCATCATAATTATCTTTTTAAGATGAGTCGCATGTGATATTATGAGATTAGTCCTGAAATTTAGTCACAATTAAAATTCTTGTCCTTTTCTAAAAATATATTTGATAAGAATTTAATTCAAGTTTTCTTTTCACCTACTAAGATTATGTTGCCAGCTGAGTTATACCAGGCTATGATTAAATTTTTAAAATAACGTTAGGAATGTGAGTTCCATGAAATTTTTTTGAAAGAAAAGTTATATTGTTTTTTTTTTTTTTGATAACAAGTTATATTGTTTTAAACAAAAAACTAATTTGACATTCAAAGAGTATCAAAGATCCCTTATAAGGAAAAGAAAAAAGAAAAAAAAAAAGCGCAGCATTAGAGAAGCGGAACCCAAATTAATTTACAATATTTCTTTCGAGTTTTACTGAAATGATCTGACTCTTATTAAGGGACCTGAATTATGATAATATTATTAATTTTTTCCCTAAGTTTTTTAAATGTCTATCTCACACATTTAATCGTCCAACTTGAACCTTATAATAATGAGCATTCCAAAATGGTAGAAATTTGAGTAAGATGAATGGTCCATATTGTTTTGCGTCTTTTCCAGGTTGACTGGGTTGACTGGGGGATGCTTTGTTGATGGCGACAACGTGCTTAATATTCAACAGCTGTTCACTTGTACAGATGTAAATTAGCTTGCAAAAGCAATCAATTAATATCACCATTTTAATCTGAAAAATTTGTTTGGTAGTTGATTTTAAGAGGAAAAAAAAAAAAAAAAGAGAATTTTAGTAAGTTCTTGCTTTGTTTGTGAGTTAAAAAAAAGAGAGGAAGAAATTGAGAATTTTTACTAAATTTACCAAAATTCTTCTTCTAAAAGTTAAAGTTCCTCCAATTTGAGAGGTTTGAGGGAAAAAATATTAAAAATTACTTATTTACCATTAGGATTAAAATATAAAAACTACATAAATGTGAATCATTTTTAAATGTGACATTATTAGAAAAGTCTCAGATACTGATAGAACTTATCGCCGAAAAATATTTCGTCAAAAATAATGATGAAATATATGTCAAAAAATTTCCGTCAAAACTAAAGAAAAAATTAGAGACGGAACCAGATTTTGCCATAATCACTCACATAAATTTTTTACAGATAAAAAATAAGTCAACATTATTGATAGAATCCAAATTTCAACGTTTGACAAAATACATTTCCATATAAATTTTTTGATCTAAAACAATTACGTCAAATTTTTTACGGAAAACATCTTCATCAAAATTTTCAACGAAAAATATTTCCATCAAAATTTGTAACTAAAAAAATTTTGGTAAAAAAATTTGACTGGAATTTTATTTTTGTCAAATTTTTTTATAGAATCTAAATTTTGTCAAAATATTTCACAAAAACACATATTCATCAAAAAATTTGACGAAAAATATTTCCAACAAAATTTTCAAACGAAACACATTTCCATCGAAATTTTTTTACGAAAAAAAATCAAAATTATTTACAGAATTTAAATTTCGTTGAAAGTTTTCATCAGAAACATTTTCATTAAACTTTTTGATAAAAAAAATTTCCGTCGAATTTTTAACGAAACACATTTCCAACAAAAATTTTCGACGGAAAATATTTCCATCAAGTTTTTTCAACGGAACATATTTCTGTCAAAAATTTCCGACAAGAAATATTTTCGTAAAAATTTTTGACGAAAAATATTTCCATAAAATTTTTGGCAGAAAAAATATTTTGTCAAAATTCGTTACTGAATCTAAATATCGTCAAAAGTTCCGAATGAAACATCTCCCTCAAAAATTTTGACGGAATATTTTCCATTCAAAATTTTGATATTTTGGACGAAATTCTTTTTTCGTTTTAACATTTGATGGAGGAAATTATTATCGTCAAAACTTTTGACGGAAACTAAATTATGTCGAAAATTTCGATAGAAAATTTATTTTGTAAAAATTTTCATCGGAGAAGAAATTTCGTCGCTTTTCGACGAAAAAATAATTTTGTGACAAATTTTTTGTCGTTTGCAGCATAGAAATTTCGTCGAAAATATGATCTTTTTTAGTATTGTCAAAAGTGCATAAATAATTTTGTTAGAAATTTTAAATTTAACTTAATTTGTAAAATATAATAATTATATTAATTTTTAAAAAATGGTAAAATGATAAAATTATCTCATGAACCTTCTATTTTTCTCCCTTACCATTTTTTTAACTCCCAAGGAAAGAGAATATCTTTCAATTTTCTTCTCTTCCTTCCCCTCCCTCCCCTTAGATGCCCTTCCTTCCCTTCTCCTTCCCTCCAAACTCACAAACAAAGCCTTAGGGCGTTTGGTAGAGGAGATATTTTTTTTAACCAGGTAAATGTAATAATTAGGAATATGATAAGAAAGATAGGAAAGTGAGTTTGGTAGGAAACTTAAAAAAAAAATATTTGATTTGACAAAATTTTACCAGAAAAATTGGGTTAAATAAGTCATATTTTTGGTTTACCTTTTTCTATTTCCCTAATTTTCTTGAAATACCACCTCATAAATGGTAAACCTCAAGAGTGCATTCTCTCCTTTTTTGCATGCAATTCACAAAGGATGGGGAAAACAGATCGGTGGATAAGTTTGTGTTTCTGCTACTAAACGTTGGCAACATGGAATACCAATATCAGATGGATTGGAATCCAAAAATAAAACCTCAACCAAACACTACCTTAATTTTTTTCTTATGGAATATCTTTAAAAAAAAATATATTTAATTTTGCAAAACTAATATCAATTTAACCGTAAATATTTTTACCCTAATTTATTTTCACTGTAATATCATATTTACTATGATTGATTCTTGTTTTATTAATACAATTGTTACTTTATATTAAGAAGGTAAAAGTGTTCTGATTTTTCTGTTTATGCACTAGCTAGGAATAGAATATGATATTATAAGTTGATAGGATAAGATATGGTAAAAAGATATTTGTACTTATACCATGCATAATGTTTAGAGCATAACTAAATGTATAGTTAATAACATACACACAAATATTATTATTTTTACAAAAAAAAAATCAATATTCTTCAACTCAACTTGGTAGAGTGATGCAGTTGGCAGAGTGGTGGTGATTGTGGCTTGACTTCACAACAACGGGAATGGGTGATTGGGTGGTGGTGTAAGTATAGTAGTGGGGATATTAGTAGAGTAGCTAGTGCTGTTCGCCGTGTTCACATTATCACGTAAGTGGTATTGTTGGAAACCATATTATTGGGTTAAAAAGAGAGAGGGTAAGAACACTTTTAACTTCTTATTCCATTTGACCATATACTCCTAGACTGGCTAGAGTTACCATAAAGTAGTAAGCTATCATCCACGGACACTGACATGGAACACGAAACACGACACAACACGTCGACACGTTAATTCTAAAAAATGACATATTTCGACACGTTGGAACACGTTTTGATATTAAATAATATAATTTATATTTAATTGATATAACAGTCTATAATAAGTCATATAACCGATCAAATATTCAAATTTCATAACATAAATATAAACAAAAATAATTTTTCGTACATTGTTAATTTTTCATGTCAAATTTCATAACAGAAAAAAATTGATTTATAAATATTTTTTTTAATTTTAGTTAATAAAATAAAATTAAGACTAAAAAAGAAAACGTGTCCGAGCGTTGACTACGTGTCCAAAAAAGTTGACTGCGTGTCGGAAAAACGTGTCGGAGCGTGTCGGAGAGTTGACCACGTGTCCCAAAATATTGACTACGTGTCGGACGCGTGTCCGAACGTGTTCATGTCAGACATGTGTCCTGTTGAGATATATAGTCTCACATTGGTTGTATGAACAACTATTGTGGAGTTTTTTTTTTTTTCGTAACAAAACTATTGTGGAGTTTATACGGCCTTGGGCACTCCCACCATTTGAGCTAGCTTTTGGAGTGGTGTATCTCAAGGTTCTTTAAATGGTATCAGAGCTTGAGTGGCTATAAGGTCACAAGTTCGATCCTCACCGCCTCACTTTAAAGTGAAATTAAAATAAAAGCACAAAAAGGTAAACCAAAAAATTGGGTCTATGCATAATCCACGCTTCAAGCCCAGTGGGCTCTCGTGCGAGGGGGCGTGTTGAGATATATAGTCTCACATTGGTTGTATGAGCAACTAATGTAGAGTTTATAAGACCTTGGGCACTCCCACCCTTTGAACTAACTTTTGAGGTGGTGTATCCCAAGGTTCTTTAAAGGCAAAAACAATATCATTTAGATATGCTCAAATTATAAATGATATTTATGTTCTAAATATATTATTATTCAAAAAAAGTTATTAGTATTTAGACTTTGCCCCAAAAATTACATAAAACCGAATAGAACAGGCCATTCTATCTTTTCCTTTAAGAGGAACATAAAAGAAAAAGGATTGACAACATTTCATAAAGTGACTTGTTTTCATGTTTTCGGGATTGTTTCCCCCCCTTAAAAAGTAAGTTTTCCATTCCATATGCATACAAATAAAAATGTTGCCTTTAATATTTCTGGCCACTCCCTGGCCATTCTCTAGATCATCAAGAAGGTACATAAACCTTTTAGTTGGGGATGGGGACGGTCCTGCAATGGCTTGTAAGCTGTAAATGTTTCATAATTCTTAATATTATCATAAAGAGAAAGAAATAAGGGTACAACTACACGTTAGGATCTTAATGAATTGCCCTGTGTATTATTGAGAATTAAACCAAGTTGATTAGCCAATAAAAATATTGCCTTTTTTTATTGATTAACCAAGCTGATTATAACTTGCAACTTTAATTCTCAATTTAGTGGTAATGCGCTGAGAAAGGGACTCTGTCTTTCAGTTATAGACTCTTAAGCAACTAAAGAAAGCGTCTAGTTCAAAGAACAGGTAAAAATTATTTTTTGGTAAATGGCTAAAATTGTTTAAAAAAATGTTGTGTATAAATTACAAAATATAAAGGCTGGATACAAAGGAAAGATATATAGAAAATTGTATAGTGCTTGAAATAAAAGCTAAAAGAAAAAGATAACATATAGAAAATAAGTGAATTGCTTGTTGATTAATTGAGTTATTTTGAATATGTCTACACTACACAATGGCTACTTATAGAGCATAAACTAGCCTTTGACCTGACTAATATTATTTGTAATGTTTATAAGCTTTCTTTCCAGGTTTATAATAATTGAATATCATGACATATAGTCAAAATGTAGATTATCACGTCAGTTAAGTTCCTTTAGTCTCTTGAGACCAAAAAATCAAAGCACGAGTTAGCTGAATAATGGTTATCATGTATATTCTAGTGATTAATTGAATATTTATTGACTTGGTCAAACTCTCAATATTATAAAAATTCAGATTACACCAGCCAATCCAACTATTTTACAGTCCAACCAACGAATACAATTGGTGAGACTTGAACTCGAGATTTGTCAGAGGAAATAAGTGATAATAACATACTATTATGCCATTGGTTCATGTATATTATTTTATAAGTACTATTATATTTATTGTATATTTTTTATATAAAATTCAAATCGAGTGATTCAATCCGTAACACACCAATTGAACTAAATGATTTATGATTCAATATTCTAACCGAATGGATCCGATTATGTCTCAACTCTCATGAGTTTAATAATATTGATATAAAACTTATACTTTAGATTATTAGCTCCAAACAGCCCAATTAATGACCCAAGTATTCCCTCATTGCTAGATTTGTTATCTTTTAGGCCTATTTTTAACTAGGCCCGTCGTTACTATAGTTTGCAATCTTGACTGATACAGCCCAAAATACATTCGTCCGGCCTCTTCTCAATTTTATTTATATATTTTATTTGAATAATTCATAATTTGACAAAATGTGATAAATTGAAATTAGTTTGTTAGCATACTTGGATAGGATTTTTCTCAACGCACGCAACGATGAAAAAAATAGGATTTACGATTCATGGTTTGCGAAAAGAGTTATTGGTTTTGTTCTGTCCTTGGGACAAAGATGTCTAGCCCAGTTAGGTTAGTACGTTTATATTGGATCTGATGCCCTTTCCAAGGTATCTATGAGAGAGATACCCTTGAGTTAAGGAGATCACTGTGCACAGAATATTATGGTGGCGTTAGCCAATGGGGTGTGTGTGCACAGTGACAGCATAACAATGAGAGAGAGAATGTGTGTACCTTTAGGATTTGCCCTGATATTTATAGAGATTACCTGCAGATAGTTTGGATAGCTATGCTGACACATCAGGTGGATAGTTGTGCTGACACATTAAGTGAGTGGCTGTGTGGACTCGTCAGGTTTGGATTGTCCCTTGTTGGGCTTATTACTTAATGGGCCCATCATATGGGTCCATAAAAGGTTTCTTTTTGTCCAACACCCGTTTTTAATTGCTTACACTTAAAACGATCGAGAGGGGTGGATTGCATATGGATTGTTTAGTGGGTTTGTTCATGGTCGGAGGAGTGGTTCGAAAGTCACTGTTCGATATTTTTGTTGTTGTTGATTGTGAAACTTTGACAGAAAAAATATACGGAACCGAATAAGTGATTAGAAACCTTATTTTTATTTTTATTTTTAGTACAGAGAAACCTTACCTTTGCTGTTGAATTAAAGAACATAAACCCTTCATAACTTGCTTATATCAGTTAAAGTTATAAAATATTAATGTGATGTTAGATACGAAAACTCACAATAAGTGTTTCTTATAAAGTATTATGATATTATTCTAGTTAAGATTACATGTCCAAAGTAATGTAACTCATACATTATTTAGAGCAAAGTAAAGTAACTCTTATACATTATTTAGAGGAAAGGAATCCATGATCCATATTTTTATTTTTATTTTTATTTTTGTATAGAGGCCAGTTAAGTGGTGTCTAGTTCATCTTAGGTAAGATTTGGCCTAAGGCGCATCTTGACTAGTTTGAGTTGTTCATTGTTGTACTTGCTTCTCCATCAGTCCTAAACATTATTAAAAAATCAAATTATCAAGAAGTATATAGTAACATATACTAAAATCAACAAAATATTAAAGTTAAATAAATAAAATTAAGGAAGAGGCTATATATATATATACCTTAGAGAACCTGGGTACCTGCAAGCTCCAAAGCCTATAAAAGACAAGAAGAAAAAATAAAGATGAGATCACATTGATACACAATTAATTAATGTTATTAATTAAATCAACAACATATAAATTAATATATAGAAAATTAAGAAGATGGGGTGAGGTCATATATATACTGGGATCTGTTATGGCAATGGTGGCAGTGCCACCAAAATCACAAGTTCCAGGGGCTTTGCCATGGCGCTGATAGTAGCTGTCGTAGGCATAGGAAGCATGATTTTGAATGGTGTTTGGATTAAAGCATGATCCTCCAGGCCTAATAGGACCGCAGTCAGCACCACTTGCACATGCATAATTCATTCCTTGCTGCAGGTTCTGGTAGCTAGCCCCGCTCCTCACCACGCACCAAGGTCCAGCTTCTACAGTTATCACAATATTCACTATCGTGGCTGTCAATAACACTAGACAAACCAGCTTTGGTGATGCTGCCATATTGAACAAAGTTTGTTATATTCTGAGATAGATATATGGGATGTTGTTGTTTTGGTTTGCTAGTAAAGAAGGACATAGACAGATAGGAAAAATGTTCACAGACATAGGAATTTATAGTGAATGCGAGCGAGCATGGAATAGAAAGCATTTTCTCTTTATTTTATGTTATTTTCCCCTTGGGGGTCGGTTTGGTAGAGGGAAAATTTTTTTTTTACCGGAAAAATGTAATTATTATGGATATGGTGGGAAATGAAGTTTGGCAGGAAAATTAAAAAAAAATTGTTTGGTTAGCCAAAATTTTACCGAAAAATTTGGGTAGAATTTTATAAGTCTATGTTTGATTGAAGGTAAAATATAGGTGGGAAAATATGGTTAAATTACCACAACAACTCTTGACTAAAATAAAATGGGAAAATATGGTTTTAGTTGTAGTTTTCTCAAACATCCGGGTCATTTTGTCTCCTTGCTTGGAATCCTTTTTGGATTTTTCCATCTATCAGCAAATACTACCTTGTAGGTGGTATTATTTAACAGTATTTTTTACACACAAAAAGCAAATACTATGCAAATGAGTTCACTGCCAAATTTTTTTAAAACATGATACCAAACATGAACATCCAAAAATACCACTTTCATTTGCCTATCTATCCTTAACAAAATTATCTACCAAACACACCCTTATTTTTAACTGCAGGGCAGATTCTTGATTAATTAATAAAATAAATGAGGTCAAAGAACATTATTATTATTATTATTGAATGACACCGACTTTTTTATAATCAAGTTCACTTACAATAGTCTTTTTTTTAACTCTTTTAAACAGTTAAATATGTCTGGTTAACTTTTTTTGCTTTTTTTATAAGAGTAAATATCCTTTTTGGTCCTCAGAAAATTTTACGATGCTCCTTTCAGCCCTAACAAATAAAAAGATTCATCGTGGTCCCTAAGAAATTTAAAATAGATCTATTTAGTTGAAATCGTGATCCCTTACAAATTCAAAAAAGACCCATGTTAATCCTCAAAAGGACTAAAATGGGTCCATTTTGAATTTGTTAAGGACCACGATAGACCTTTTTATTTGTTAGGGACTAAAACGGATCTCGTGAAATTTGCTGAAGACCAAAAAAAGGTATTTACTCTTTTTATAATGTTCACGTACGAGGTCAACCAAATCCTAGTTGTTTCTTCTAGCCACCTCTGCATTTTACCAATGAAGCAGTTATGGTTGAATGAGGCAGTTATGGTTGAATATACTTGAATACCCAACTTTAATTACCTCTTTGAGGCGAGTTGGCTCCTTCTGGTATCTCCACAAGCTTCGACTCTTTGAGCCGGCTATGAGACTAATCCGGAGTGCGGGGGTCAGTGATGGCTAAAAGTTCAGCCCCCTCCCCAAGAATGCATTCAGCGAGAATCGAACACATGTCTAACTCCACTAACTCAACACCAAAGAACCAACTGAGCTGCACCCATTGAGTTCCTTACCTTCTTTGAACAAGGTTGAATGAGACACTTCTTTATGTGTTACGTTACATCACAATTAAATGGGCACATACTTCTGTATACACATGTTCAGTTATAATTGTTTTTTTTTTTTTTGGGTACATTATAATTGTTTTTTTAACCATGTGAAACTGCTATGTTGACCATCTCATTTTTATTTCATATAATATTCATCAACTCAACCAAATCCTATCTATTCTATTTACTTATCTAAGTATTTTTAGGAAAATTATACGTATAATCTCTTTTGTCTTACAACCTTGTTCAAAGAAGGTAAGGAATTCAAGTATTCAACCATAAGTGCCTCATTCAACCGTAACTGCTTCATTGGTAAAATGCAGAGGTGGCTAGAAGAAACAACTAAGATTTGGTTGAACTCGTGAATAATATAAAAACTGTAAAATAACTTTTGGTATTCAATAAATATCACATAACATAATTTAATTTCTTAGAAGAAAAAAAGTTAATTTATATTCTCTCTGAAATTTAATATAGACCCATATTAATCATTTTGAGATAGTAATATAGGTCTTTTTTTTTTGGGTACAATATATAGGTCTTTTTTGAATTTTAAAGAAATTATGATTTTGACTAATTAGATCTATTTTAAATTTTAAATCGACTACAAGTAAATTTTTTTCCTAAGAAATTAAAATGAACCCCATAAAAGACCAGACATATGTAACCGTTTAAAACAGTTAAAAAAAAAGACTATTGTAAGTGGATTTGGATCCCCTCATATGAAAAAATGACCACGTGGTTATGTTATTTAATCATAACAACTCATTTAAAAATTATATATATTTTTCTCTCTAATCTCATTATCAATGAGTGGTTGTGATCAAGTAACATGACCATATGACCAATAAGTGAACTTGATTATAAAAAAGTCGGTGTCATTCAATTATAATAAAAAATAAGAATAATAAAGATTAAAAAAAAAAATAAGAATAATAATGTACTTTGACCTCATGTATTTTATTAATTTAAAAATCAAGAATCTGCCCTGCAGTTAAGATTAAGGGGAAAATAACATAAAATAAAGAGAAAATGCTTTCTATTCCATGCTCGCTCGCATTCACTATAAATTCCTATGTCTATCTGTGTGTGTCCTTCTTTACTAGCAAACCAAAAAAACAACATCCCATATATCTATCTCAGAATATAACAAACTTTGTTCAATATGGCAGCATCAACAAAACTGGTTTGTCTAGTGTTATTGACAGCCATGATAGTGAATATTGTGATAACTGTAGAAGCTGGACCTTGGTGTGTTGTGAGGAGCGGGGCTAGCTACCAGAACCTGCAGCAAGGAATGAATTATGCATGTGCAAGTGGTGCTGACTGCGGTCCTATTAGGCCAGGAGGATCATGCTTTAATCCAAACACCATTCAAAATCATGCTTCCTATGCCTACGACAGCTACTATCAGCGCCATGGCAAAGCCCCTGGAACTTGTGATTTTGGTGGCACTGCCACCATTGCCATAACAGATCCCAGTATATATATATATGACCTCACCCCATCTTCTTAATTTTCTATATATTAATTTATATATATTGTTGATTTAATTAATAACATTAATCAATTGTGTATCAATGTTGTGATCTCATCTTCTTTATTTTTTCTTGTCTTTATAGGCTTTGGAGCTTGCAGGTACCCAGGTTCTCTAAGGTATATATAGCCTCTCCCTTAATTTTATTTATTTAACTTTAATATTTTGTTGATTTTAGTATATGTTACTATATACTTCTTGATAATTTGATTTTTTTTTTATAATGTTCAGGACTGATGGAGAAGCAAGTACAACAATGAACAACTCGAACTAGTCAAGATGTTCGTGCGTTAGGCCAGACATTACCTAAGATGGACTAGACATCTCCTAGCCTCTCCATATCAAAAAAAAATAAAAATAAAATAAGGATTTATCAATTGATCGATCATATGGCTTTTCTTTCCTCTAGTTAATGTATAAGAGTTGCACTACTTTAGCGATGTACTCTTATGAGAATATATAATAATAGTTTATGGAAAAAATGTGTATCATTTTAAAGGATATAAAATTCTGTTATTTTAAACGAGAGAAAAAGATAGATAAAGGAGGAGCGATAGTGGACAAAAAAATATAAAGATGTGAATCTCACCTCTTTGTGAGAGTGAAATGACATAAGTTATGTCATTTAAAAGGATAAATATTTTTCCCATAATTTATAATTAAGAAAAACTTTTTGTGAGTTTCATATCAAAGATCACATCAATATTTTATGAGGTTTGCATTTGTCATTTAACATGACACAACAAACTTTTCTACACACAACGTTTTGTGAAGCCCACACTTTTTGAAGAAAAAAGAAAAAAAGAAAATTAGGGCACGCAAAACGAATCTCTATAACATTACACAATCATTTTTCCTACAACATAACTCTTGTAAAACTCATATTTTATAAATGTAACTGATATTTTGAAACACACCTTGCTACTGTGAGCCATGAAGGCTACACTAAAATCTTACATAAGAAGCGGAGCAATACCTCATTAATGCAATAGAATAACATGACCAAGAGCGTTAGCGGAATGTAAGCAAGATTTGAGTTGAGAGGGCCATCCTTGTTTATTAATTGTGAAATATTTTTCTTATTTCGTTGGAGATAACTATTTCATGTTATACACTCATCAAATTTTGTGCCATCTTTTTTCATTTCTTTTTTCATTTTATTTTAAAGTGTGGACCCCACATATTTATCTCACATACACGAGAGAACTATCTCAAGCAACATGAGATTAGTAACTCCCTTATTAATTTATCGGAAATTTTGAACTGGTACCTTCGGGACGAATCCTTGGGTTTTTATTTTTATAAGAACACAATCAAAAGAAAAAGTAAATTAAACAAACATCAAAATGAATCCGGGGTAAAACAAATACGTACATATACTTTCATAAAAACTTAATTAAGGAGCTTCATGCAAGCATTGTGGTGTATAAAATTAGGCTTTAATAGCTTTTCTGTCGCTGCAGATCAGAAAATTTACAATAACACTTATTTTCACCAGGATGCGGTTCTTTATCTTAGAAATTTTTTTATTCTAGGATTCGGCTCCGTATCCTAGTGTTAGATTTATTGCAACTTTTCTCATCTACAACGATAACAAAAACGAGAAACCCGTAAAATTATGCGTGCAATCAAGTATAAGTGAGACTTCCTTTGTTAGATAAAAATTATTTCTCCGACCGCGGATAAGTGAGACTAAATTTCAAAGCAAATGCATCAAATAAGTCATCAAATTTACTTTTTCGGGTAACAAACAACTAAGGAGCTCCCATCATAGTGATAATAGGGGGAAAGATTACGCCAGTAAGTTTCAAACTTTTGACCACTTGATTATAAATGTGGATACCTTGAAGAAAATTATTAAACCCTAATGTGGCTAAGATCATTCAGTTTATTGCTGATATAAAATACGTCTTTGTGTGGCTAAGATCATTCAGTTTATTGC